CGGTACTGTGAATTGAACTCATGACCTCAGGCTTGCCAGGCAACCGCTTATGCCGCTGAGCTATATCCCTGGCCCACACATGCTCTTGATAGTGAATGTAGGTAAGACATTTTAAGAAGTCATGCTGCAGCTTACTGCCCCCGGCCTTTTTTTTTGAGACAGGGTCTCACTTTGTAGGTCAGGCTGGTCTTTAACTCACTGTGTAGTCCAGGCTGGCCTCACGGCAACCCTCTACCTCAGTTCACTGGAGTGCTGGGATTACTGGAACTTCACTGTTTAGGGTAGAATAAATTGGGCGTGGGTGTGCATGCCTGAGGCAGGAGGATGCCACAAGCTGGAGGCTAGCCTGGGCTACATAGTGAGTTCAAGGCCAGCCTGAACTATATGAGACTGTGTCAACCCCACAAAAAACTTAACTAAAAAAAATGGAATATTTGACTTCCTTTATTTAAAATACAGTAATGGTTGATGTTCTGCTTGGGACATACTGGACACTCAGAGCATCTGGTCACCATTTTTATTGGAGGCACAAAATACAGGTTAACACATTCCTGGCTCCTTGAACTGCTGATGGATGGTACATGACTGTCTGATTAGGCAGCTTATGCCCCTGGTGGTACAAATGGATGTAGCCACTTTTATCAGTCTTTTTATTGGTAAAATTAATAAAAAGCATAAATAGGCCAAATTTCTTGAATTTGAATAATTACTGCCCAAATAGAAACAATCAGTACTATTCATACCAATTAAAAATTGTTTTTTTGTTTTGTTTTGTTTTTTGTTTTTTTCCGGTACTGGGAATCAAATTCACGACCTTGCACTTGCCAGGCAGGCGCTGTGCTGCTGAGCTAAATCCCCAGCCCCTAAAAATTGTTATAACCAAAAATTTTATTTCATTAAATTAAAATTCGTATTCATGAATAATTCAGAAATTAATTCTCTAAATTTTACCGTGGAAATCTTATACGTACCCCATTACTTGGGTATATAATACACATTTACAACTGCTGTACCACAAATTAGCTGTATTATCATTTTTCATACTATTTTAATGTTTTCCTTAAGGAACTGTAATGCAGTGACATCTGGCCTGCTAAATCAATGCTTTTCTTTGCATTATTGTAATCAAAGACCCCCCCCCTCCCGGGAAGTGATACAACCCACTCGATGGGACAGTCATGTGTGTGCCACCTGTGGTTCAGGTGTGAGGGGAGTGATTAAATTTGAATCAGAGCCACCTGGCTGTGAGGCATATGAATTACAACCCCATCATGAACATATGAAGATATATTTATTTCTTCTTAATCAGTTGTGATTTATTTTTATTTTATGCATGTTGTTTCTTAAATTATGTATTCTGTATACACACACATATATATATATATAACACATTTTATATATGTGTTTTCTTGAATTAAATGGAATAAATTTGGGTTTCCTCTTAGTTTATAATTCCAAGGCTGGATAGTGTGGCTACATTTTGAATAAATAAAATGTCCCAACTTACATGATTTATTTCCCCATCAAAATGTTAATGTGTAGCCCAGTGAGGTAGTGCACACCTAATCCCAGCACTCTGGAGGTTGAGGCAGGAAACTTGTGAGTTTTGAGGTCAGCCAAGGCTACATACTAAGTTCAAGCCTGCTAGACAATAGAGTAAGATACTATCAACAAAATAATGCAAAGAAAAAAAACCCACAAAACATTGTAGGCATTAGGATAAACAGCTTTGTGTGATTTTATAAATCTGAGCCTATGTCTTGGTAGTGTGATAAGATAGTTGAAATGCATAAGAGCTAAGCACTGATTTATGTGACAGTGAAAAATTTGAGAGTTTGGGAAAGAAATAGGGAAGATAGGAGGGATCTTAACTCCAGGGAGTGGGTAATCATATTTTGTTCATGAGCCACACTGAACTGGTGAGAACCCCTTCAGAATGGAGGGTTTGGTTTTATTTTTGAGATAGGGTCTTGCTTGTGTAGTGCAGGCTGACGTTGCTCTGGCTTATGTACCCCAGGCTGGCCTTGAACTCACAGTGATTTTCCTGCCTCAACCTATTAAGTGCTGGTATTACAGGTGTGCACCACCACACCCAGTCAGAAGAATTTAAAGGAAAGTATAACTTGCACAGAACAAAAATAGAGGTTTATTTTGCTTGAAGCTACAAACATGTGATTTCAACACTAGAAAACTGATTGCTTGCCAGGCATGCCTGTAATCCCAGCATTCGGGAGGCTGAAGCAGGAGGATTGCTGTGAGTTTGAGGTCAGCTTTGGCTACATAGTGAGTTCAAGACCAGCCTGAACTACATAGCAAAACAAAAGGATGCAAGGAAACTTGTCTGTCTGTCTCAAAACAAAAGGATGCAAGGGAACTTGTCAGTGGCTGTGTCAGTGTTGATTGGGGTGATAGAAACATTCAAGTGTGTGCATATGTCCAAACTTATCAAGTTGTATATGATACTATATTCAGTCTGTTGGCATATTGTGTTCCAATGAAGCTTGGTAAAATAAGAGTTCCTTCAGAAAATAAGTAACGAAGCTGGGCGTGATGGCACGTGCCTATTGTTATCCCAGCACTCAGGAGGCTGAGGCAGGAGGATGACTGCAAATTTGAGGGGAGTCTGTGCTACATAATGAGTTCAAAGATAGCTTAAACTATGTATCAAGACCCTGTCTCAAAAGAAAAGAAATAATGAAATACTTTGACTGAAATCTATTTGTATATAGTGTGAGGGAGGGTTCTCATATTGTTACGGGGTTTTGAGGGCTACTTTTTTGATGTTGGTTTTTTTGAGACACGGACTCACCATGTAGCTCAGATCAGCCTTGAACTCACTGGGTAGCCCAAGCTGGCCTTGAACTCGCTGTGATCCTCCTGCCTCAGTGTCCTGAGTGCTGGGATTGCAAGTGTGTTGTACCACACCTGGCTTGGTATCAGTTTTGAAGAACCATGATGTTAGCCATTTGTTAATTAATGAAAATATAGTAGTGACCAAGACATGATGCATTTAGTTATACTAAATGTGTATTTTAATCATAGTGGATTCTGTGCAAGTTTGGAAAATAAAATATTTTTATGTAGTCTTAAAAATGCCCAGTTTGTGAAGATACCAGTTTTGTGAGTTAACATCATAGTCTTTCATACCTATACAATTTTTTTTTGTTTGTTTTGCATTGTTTTTGAGACAGGGTCTTACTACGTGGCCCAGGCTGGCCCCAAATTGAGATCCTCCTACCTCAGCAGGTATGAGGAAGTCCTGCCTCGGCCTGCCTACTGTTGGGATAACAGGTGGTTGTCTACCAACATTACTTGCTAGCTGTACAGTTTAGATTAAGAGTAGGAGAAGGTGATCTGCTAAGAATTAATTACTATGGGAAGTAATGTCATGTTTATATTTATCCGGTAAAAGTTACTGTAGTCTGCATAGTATATTCAGACTGGGAAATAGTAGCCAGAAGATGGCAGTGCCCAGCAGTAGCTCCTTAGAATGGCACATATGGGCTTTCTGACCTTCTTCAGTCTGTGTTGCTGTTGGAAGACAAAAGGCAAGGCACTATTCAGTGTAGAGCAGAGCGCAGGGGACATGTATAGTAATGTGTGGTGGGAATCACTACGTGGCAGTCTTAGATTTGTTGAGTAAATCTGTTTCCAAAGAGTGACAAATTTAGTGTACACATAGTTCTGTCCTCCCATGCTATTTGTTTGCTCCCACTCCGCCTTTTTTTGGTTTTTGAGGCAGGGTAGTTCCAACTGGCTTTGAACTCACTATGTAGCTGAGGCTGGCAATCCTCTTGCCTCAGTCACTGGAGCTCTGGGATTACAGATACGTGCCGCCACATCTCATTTAAAATTTCACACACGGTCTCTTGCTTTACGTGGTTTTTGTGCTTGTTCTGGCTACTTAGTCCAGGCTGGCCTTGTGATCCTCCTGCCTTAGCCTCCCAAGTGCTAGGATTATAGGCCTGTGCCACCAGGCCTGGCTTCTTTTGTTGTTGTTGTTTTTTTTTTTTAATCGTGCTAGAGAGTGAACTCTGGGCATGCACTCTTAACACTGAATTAATACCCCAGCCCTGTGTTTTATTTGTGAGCTTTATTCATTGAGTCACATAATAAGTTCCATTTGAATAATTTCTTACGTTGGTAAAATAGTTATTTTTGGTTTATTTTTCTTTTATTTTTATGAGAGGATTCATCTGTAGTCAGCTGGCTTTGAGGCAGGAACATCATGATCGAAAGGCCTGGCAGAGCCCCACTGCTGAGTTTGTGGCAGTTGAGGAGCAGAACAGGGGCAGAGCAGTGAGGAGGAACAGGCTTGGAGACACATGGAGCGCCCAGACCACTCTTCGTGACCCGCTCAGATCCACCCGGTGTATGCTCCCAGTCCCCCAGGCATTTCCTAATCCAGTGGAGCTAGTGGTCACGGCACGAAAGGGTGGGGGCAGCTAACTGGTCATCGGTGTCTGTGTTTTCATTGGCACAGTTCTAACTTGCTGAACGTGCAAACTCTATAAAATTGATTTTGTAGGTTGCCTTTTATCTAGGTATGGGCAGGTGACGAGGTCTGGTGGATGGAAAGTTAGCAAAAATGATAGATACCTCTGCAGTTGGCAGAAGGAGTGTTTTTTGAAGTGTGTTTATCAGTGCTTTAGAGATAACAATTTGAGAGACTTGTCACTCTTTGAATAGGAAACATTTCCCCAAAGTTTTTAGGGTTGTGTTTTCTCTAGTAGTGTATTTGCTTCATATTCTTACAGCTTAGTGAGACATTTAGATGGTGGCAAAGTTACAGTCCTTGAGGGAGGAGGAGAAATAATTTCTTTCTGGTCACCTGCTTTTGGTTATCTTTTTTTTAGAAAGACTTTTTTGAAATTAAAAATTTTGGTGATATAGCATGGAATGAAGTGTTTGGAAATGTATTCTGCTGATGTAGTTTTTCTAGTCATGCTGATTTGTAAATTGTAGAAGATTTGCACTAATTTAATCAATTCCATTTTTAGTCCAGTTACAACACAGGGATCACAACAGACGCAGCCGCCACAGAAGCACTATGGCATCACCTCGCCTATCAGCTTAGCAGCCCCCAAGGAGACCGACTGGGTGCTGACACAGAAACTCATCGAGACTTTGAAGCCCTTCGGGGTTTTTGAAGAGGAAGAAGAACTGCAGCGCAGGTGAATAGGGCTCCGTGTGTCTGTAGTTTAATTTATATTATTTTATTAGTATTGAAATTAATTTTGGGGCATTGTGTACTCAGAAGATCAGCATTGTTCTCCCAGTCTATGTCTGTTTTGGACAAGAGTGCTACTTAGGAAAAATAACGTTAATATTTTCTAGAGTTCTGTTCCCTTAATTGTGATATTTGGTTGTTTTGGTAATTATAGTGCAGAATAGTCAGGAGAAAGGACAATGCCTTACCCAGTGAAACATTGCTTGTATGTAACTAACTTCTGCACATTGCTCATTACTTAAATGTAAAATTCAGGAAAATACCTATTTAAGACTGTTTTGTATAACCAGTAGTAATGCGGAAAAACAACTTGATACTTGACAATTACTTTACCAACAGGATTTTAATTTTGGGAAAATTAAATAACCTGGTGAAAGAGTGGATACGAGAAATCAGTGAAAGCAAGGTAAGGTGACGTTTTGTATACAGAGTAATTTGTTTTATATAGTAATGGAACACAGTAATTGTCTTATATCACCTGGTGATTTAAAGTCTTTAATGTGGCATTCTTTTTAGACTTGATATCAATTTATATTTTGTTTCTAGTTACTTTGAAAGTAAAAAATCAGCTGAGCTTAGCAATTTTAAGTACTCTTTGATCGCAGCATTTCAAAGCTGAACTCAGTAACTAAGCTATTCATATTCCTTAGAGAAGCAGGAGGTGTTTTCCTGAAAAGGAAGGATTCTTAGCATGCTTGAGGTCCTAGATTTCAACCCCCCAACAAGTGTTTACTGTATTTTGGGTTCTTATCTTTTAAGAAGTCCTACAGTAGTTTTCTTGATATTGGATAATCAAACTATTATTACTGTTTTTAGTTTTTTGTAACAGCTTTCTCTGAATTACTGAATTGCTAGATTTTGGTAAAGGAAATGCTTTTTCTTTTTGAGACAGGTTCTCAATACAAAGTTCAGGCTGGCCTGGAACTTGCAGCAATCTACCTGCCTCAGCCTTCTGAGTGCTAGAATTAAAGGTGTATGTTACCACACCTGGCCAGAAAATGCATTTTAAGCCATTCATAAAATTCATTTGATGCACTTTTAAAAAACACTAAATAATAGTAATTTTTCCAGGGTTGTAGAAAATACATATTTATTGTATAAGTGTAGCAAAAAAATTGATAGGAGAACCAGGGGTGTAAGAAAATCTCATTTAGGGAGAAAGGGTGTTAATTTAGGAGAAAAGTTAAAGACTTGGGTTTAGTGTAACTTACAATACTGTTTCCTTTTTTTATGTTGGAACTATGTTAATTCTTCAACACTGTTATCTTAAAGCAACTTACATATAATTCAAACAACTGATTAACTTTAGCAACTGGAGTATTGTAAATGGTGGTTTTTATGGAGTACACTTCTTACTAATAGATTTTCTGAGAAAATGAGGTATTTGGAAAGGAATTTTTTTGTTTTGAGCTAAGTGAAGTGTGTGTGTGTGTGTCTGTCTGTCTGTCTTTTTGAGACAGGGTCTTGCTGTGCAGTTCAGGCTGGCCTTGAGCTCCCTTTGTAACCTAAGCTTGTCTTGAACTTGCAACTATCCTCCTGCCTCAGCCTCCCGAGTGCTGGGATTAGAGACATGCACCACCACACCTGGAGAGTAAATTATTTTTAAGCCTAAATTGTTTTGTTTTATTTTGTAAATATTAACTGTGACATGGTCTCATTAAGTTACCTGGGCTGCTGAGACTGTACCAGCCCTTTGTAGATTCTGAGGGAGAACCTCATTCAGCTGCTCAGCCTGGCCTTGAGTTTAGGATCCTCCTGCCTCAGCCTCCCAAGTAGCTAGAGGATAATAGGCATTGTGTTAACCCTGTTAAGAAATAAAGATTTTTAAAGCTTTTTCTTAGATGTTTAAGAATTTTAGTCAGGTAGACAGCCAGGACTTGTTAATTTTGTGTATGTGTGAAAACAAAAGTATTGTCTTTTTTGAGTTTTTTCTCAGGTACTACTTGAGCCAGTAATTTTTTAGGTTTTTTGAGACAGGGTCTCACTATGTAGTTCAGGTTGGCCTTTAACTCATGGTGATCCTCCCGCCATAGCCTCCAGAGTGCCAGGGTTACAGGTGTGAACCACGATGTACCAGCTCTGAGCCCGTGATTCTTGATGTACCGTAGTTCTTTCCACTGGTTTTCCTGAAGATAAGAAAAATTGCTTGGGTTAACAGAATTATTGCTCCTCCTCTTCTAGTTTGTCTAAACTCTTTGATAGCCCAGCCTTTTTTTTTTTGTCTTTTTGAGACAGGGTCTCTATGCAGTCCAGGCTGGCCTTGAGCTCACTTTGTAGCCCAGGCTGTTCTCGAACTTGCAACGATCCTCCTGCCTCAGCCTCCCGAGTGCTGGGGTTACAGGTGTGTGCCACCGCGCCTGGCTGTTGGCAGCCCACCTTTGTAGGCAGCAAGTTGATTAGAACATGGGGTAAAGAATTTAGGCTTCTGAGGTTTGATGTTTTGTTTCTGCCTTTTATAGAGTGTGTCTCCCAGCTGGTTAGTTTTAAAATTTACTATGGGATTTCTTGATGTTGGTATTGTTAATACATGTGGACCGGATAGTTCTTTTTGGGTGCCTGTTCTGTGTGTTGCAGGATGCTGAGCAGTATGTCCTCTGCCCTCTTAGGTATGGGTCACTCCTCTCCACAAGTTGTAATAACCAAGAATTTTTCTAGTCAGCTGGCCCTAGGGGAAGAACTATCTTTGGATGAGAACTACTGATTTAATAATATAGTTAGAAAATTTATGAAGTTTGAGTTTGGCTTGAATTGGGCATGTTTGTGCACACTTCCTGAGGGGCTGAACAGGAGAATCACTACTAGTTCAAGCCTGGCCTGAGCAACCTAGGGAGACCCCCCCCAACCATCTCAAAAGACAGAAACCACAGAAGAACAACAAAAAACTAACAAATGGGTGGCTGATTTGTTTGCCATCTAAGACTTGATACTCTTAGGTCCTTAAGCAAAGATTTTACAATCAAAATTTTTTTCTTTGCACGTGTGATGTCGCAGGGCTATAAATCCAGCACTTAGTAGGCTGAGCCAGAAGAGTCTCAAGTTTGAGATCAGCCCAGGACTATATAGTGAATTGAAGGCTACCTTGACTACATAGTTTAAAAAATTTCAAAAACTTTTGACTGTGCTTCAGAAATTTGTTTTTTTCTATAACCTGACTTAAGAAATTTTATTTTCTGATTACAATGATCCTAATAGGATAAATACAGGAATCTCTAGAAGTATACTACATTAGTGTCTAGCCCACATGTGATTATTTAGGATTAAAATGAAACATTTAGGTTTTTAACATATTCAGGAAGGGGCATTAAGTAATTCATATTTCACTGCCATATGGCTTGAACCATCAGTAAGTGGTACATGTGTGACTGTACGACCAGGTGGCTTTTTATTTATTTTATCAGTGAAAAGACCAATAAAAGTGATTAGATTTGTTTGTACCACTAGTGGTGCAGGCCACCTGCTGGGACACGCTAACCACATTCAGGAGGTCAGTAGAAAGGAGTATAGTGGCTGCTATATTGCACACTGGAGGTATATAGAGTGCTCATATCCTTCCAAAAGGTTTTATTACAGTGTTTCTCCATGAAATGTGTGTTTTAATTGCCATTGTCATCAGTTCATTGTTGTATTTTTTAACTTCTTTTACGAATCTAACTGTACACATAGCTTGCAATCTTATTTTAAATAACCAGGCCAGCATTGCACATATTTATCAATATCTAAATATAAGAAAGCAGAAGCCTTGCTTCTTAGAAATGTTAACAATTTTCATATATGTTGTCTTCTGTGATGGTGGTGAAACATGCCCTTTTCAACAAGAGTCCCTGAATCTGAAGTTTAAAGACATTAATTGGTTTTGTTCCCAGTTTCAGAGTTGGGCAACACTTTATAAAGTAGAATGAATGTTGCCTTTCTTGAATCTTTAGAAGGTTGCCCCCCCGCCCCCCTCCCGTACCAGGAATCAAACTCATGACCTTGTGCTTGCTAGGCAGGCACTGTGCCACTGAGCTATATCCCCAGCCCCTACAAGCTTTTAGAAGTCTTTTGGTATATGACGTAACACTTGATTAGTGCCATTTAAGTTTTTTGGTGTAGGGAATGGAGGGATAATCTTGTACATTTTTGGTACCAAGTGCTTTATTATACTAAGGAAGGGCCAGGGATATAGCTCAGTGGCACAAGCGCCTGCCTGGCAAGCACAAGGTCCTGAGTTCGATTCCTAGTACCAAAAGAAAAGGAAGTTTAGAACGTACCAGGGCTGGGGATTTAGCCCAGTGGCACAGTGCCTGCCTGGCAAGAGCAAAGTTGTGAGTTCAATTCCCATTACTAGAAGAAAAACAAAAACAAACAAAACAAAGACAAACAATATATGGCCGGGAATATAGCTCAGCAGCACAGCGCCTGCCTGGCAAGCGCAAGATTGCCAGTTCTGTTCCTGGTACTGGAAGAAAAACCAAAAAAAACGAAAACAAAGACAAATAATATATATGGCTGGGAATATAGCTCAGCAGCACAGCGCCTGCTTGGCAAGCGCAAGGTTGCGAGTTCTATTCCTGGTACTGGAAGAAAAACCAAAAAAAAAAAAAAAAAACAAAGACAAACAGTATAGGGCCAGGAATATAGCTCAGTGGCACAGCGCCTGCCTGGCAAGCAAAAGGTTGTGAGTTCGATTCCTGGTACCAAAAAAAAAACCAACAAAAAAAACCACTTTATTATACTAAGGAATTGGAAAGTGAAAGGCCCTGCCACTCATTACATTGTTTATGTTGGGACAGATATGAACTGGGTCATTGAACATACCGTATTACTTTTACTGTAGTGCTAGGAAGACATTTGGTTTTGAGACAGGACCTTGCTGTATAGTTCAGGCTGGCCTTAAACTTACTGTGTAGACAAGGGTGGACTCAAACTCACTGCACTATTCCTGCCACAGCCTCCCCCAAGTGCTGGGATTACAGATAGGCTCCACCATGCCTGCAGGAAAACAGTTTTTGAATGTTTTGCGTTTCCCCTCTTCCTGATGCTTTTGAGGAAAAAAAACATAATAAGTCTGGTTCTTTTAAAAATCATTCTACCAAAGTGTTTCAGAAATCTAAAAAAATATTATTTAGCAGTACTGACTTTGAAGTCACTTTAGAGATGAGAAAGTTACACTCTAATATGCTGTGGGATGTTTAGTATTATCATTGAATACCGTTAAGTGTTTAGAATATTTTTTTAAAATTAGAATCTCATATTCATTATTTTCTGTAGGATCTATGTCATGATTAAATGCCCTGATTTTAATATTGCTTCTGTGGGATCACTTGATCTCCACTTGTGGTGCCCGGAAATGTAGCAAATTCTAAAATAGTGTGTGTCTTTACCAAAGAACACTATTAGAAGTTGGAAATTGCTTGAATTTCAGATTAGACTGATCTGTGAAGGACCATTTTGTGTTTTTGGTGAGATCTTATGTTTGAATATGCTCTATGGAAATTTGCACTGTCATTTTATTTGGTTTTTTTGGTTTGAGATTGAGTCCTGCTTGTTCCCAGGCTGACCCTGAGCTGCTGAGCTTCAGGGATTCTGTTTCTGCTTCCAGGGAGCTGGGATTGCATGTGTGGACCTTCTTGCCTGACTTGATTTGGTTTTTTAGAAGTACAGTATGAGCCAGGTTTGTAGTGGTACACATCTGTGATCCCAGCACTTGGGAGATTGGGCAGGAAGATCACTAGTTCAAGGCCAGCCTGGCTACATGGTGAGTTAAAGGCTACCCTGGACTATGTAGTGAGATAGTGTCTCAAAAAAACAAAACCAGACCAAGATTGAAAATTATAAAAGTACAGTATCATTTGAAAATTACCCTTATGTTTTACTGACTTTTTATTTGGTTTGTTTCAACAGAATCTTCCACAATCTGTAATTGAAAATGTTGGAGGAAAAATTTTTACATTTGGATCTTACAGATTAGGAGTACATACAAAAGGTACATAATTTCTCTTGAAGGAATGCATTTTTTACTTAAGGATTATATGGCATGGATCATAATGACATGTTCTTTTTCATTACTTAAGAATCCCATGCAAGTTTAGGTTTGCATGGAAGAGTAAGTACTTGAAGGAGTCTAAGAAGATAGAAAATAATGTCTTCCAAGTAGTGTCCAGTGAATGCTAAAATTAAGAAATACTCAGCTCCCTGAAGTTAGCCACACTTGATCTGTGTAATAGCCACATGTAGCTGTTAGCTCCTACATTGGAAATTGCACATGTGTAGAACATTTTCTATTGTAAAGTTCTTCTGGACCCATGTGTTCTTCATTTCTTCTTACTTTACATACATTTATTATAGACATTACAAAATGTGTATGCCCATTTTTAATCACTGTATTTTATTTCATAAATCTTAGTTATTTTCTCTATACACAAAAATGAAAAGTTTTCATTATAAACATTTATTAAACTTGTTAAAGTGGGCACTAAGTTCTTAATTTGCATTATTTTGTTTATTCCCCCCGCAGTACTTTTATTCTCACATAACAAATAGCAGTCTGTAGGGGCTGGGGATTTAGCTCAGCGGCAAAAGCGCCTGCCTGGCAAGCGCAAGGTCGTGAGTTCGGTTCCCAGTACCGGAGAAAAACAAAAACAAACAAACAAAAAAAAAAATAGCAGTCTGTAAACAGTTTCCCCTTGCTGTCTGTTGGCAGAACCAGTAGGTGGAGCTCCATTGGTATGAGGCTATATTTCTTAATTATTAGCGTCTGAGCTCTGTTTTTTAAAAAGCTGTAAGTGTAGTGTTCTTGTGTGTTCTGCTATCCTTTCCTGACCCATCTTCTATTCTGTGACAGTAATAGCACATTTAATTTTGATGTGTCCTGTGTTACTCAGGTAGGTAGGTAGGTAGGTAGGTAGAAAGATAAAATTTTCTCCCCCTTTGTGAATATACTGAATATCCTTTAGAGTGCTGTCTCAACATCTCATCTTTTTCCCTTTTTTACAGTTTTTTTTGATAATACAGGGCCTCACACATCTTAAGCAAACTCCCACTGAGTTATATACCTAGCATTGTAGCATCTCATAGTTGGGAAAAATGATGATGTTGATCTGACTTCACATTAGTCTCTCCCTTTTATGATCCCAATAATTGATTTTAATTCTCCTTTTTGGTGCAATAGCATATAAACACCAATCACATAGTATATAGAGAAAAAACAGTTTTGGTGCTTAACTACCATGTCTCTAATGACATGAAGACATAGGGCATGCACTTGAATAATTCCCTCTTTATCATGAGAGTCCTGAATCAACTTTCTTTGAACTTAGGATTTACTTGGGTTCACTAAAATACAGGGTGTATCAGGGAAAAGCGTGCTCTGTCAGTTAGAACCATGTTTTTCAACTCTACTGACTGGTAATTTTTATTGAATTGATACATTTGGAGCTTGCCAGTATAATGTTAAACAGATTTTATAACATCAAATGCTGCCATAAGATGCAAAATAATTTTCTTGTAGTACTAACTAGTGGTTGCTGGGATTGTTATTTTTTAGGTGCCGATATTGATGCATTATGTGTTGCACCAAGACATGTTGATCGAAGTGACTTCTTCACCTCATTCTATGATAAATTGAAATTACAGGAAGAAGTAAAAGATTTAAGAGTATGTAAATGTTTGGGGTGAGAGGGGAGGGGTTATAAAAATTTACTTAGTCAGTTGAGTGAATTTCACGGTACAGTCATCATTTATTGAGGTATTGCAGTTTGCCAGGCCATTCAAGGCGCTTAACATGTATTTGCATTGTATTCTTTACAACAAGCCTAAAGTCATAACTCTGTAAATTTTTATAGATTAGGTAATAGAGGCAAACAAAATAAATTCTAAGTAATTTGCCCACAACTCCGCGTTAGATGAATGGCAGAAGTCAAGGATTGGAACCCTGGAGCATGAAGGTGAAAGCTAGTTGCTGAGAATTTACTTTGTATCAGGCATTATGTTAGATTATGTTTAATCAACTTCAGGAATCACATTTATTTTAAAGTACTGAAGAGTAGTATAGGCCTAATGTGAAATTTCAGAAACTAAACTTGTTCACTTTTCTTAAAGGCTGTTGAAGAGGCATTTGTACCAGTCATCAAACTCTGTTTTGATGGGATAGAGGTAAGGTGTGATTCAAATGGACAGTTCTTGCTGTGAGGTGTCATTAAGTTTGATTAGGTTAAAAATTTGGTTTATTTTAAAATCAGAATTAAGAGTTGGTTGGTATTAATAACAAGGTTTTTAAAAATACAAGTCACTGCTTTTTCTTTATAGTATTTGCCATGTTTAGTTTTCTTAAGTGCCGGATGAAATTAGAAGCTGAAACAAGCAGAAGTAAAGAAAGCTTAAGACTGAAGTGCTACTGTAAAATCACTTTTTCATGTGCAAAATTTACGGTTTTAGTCTCATAGAGGTAGTAACAAAAGTATGAACCATTATGTGTGTGAAAGTATTTTCTCATAGAGCAGTGATGGCGAACCTTTTTGAGCTTTTTAGAAGTACAGTATGAGTACTGTATTTTAGAAGTACAGTATGATGGAAACATACTCCTGCGGTACATGTGCCATAGGTTTGCCACTGCTGTGATAGAGGATTTGTAGTAGAGCTCAAATTGTTGAGCTTTCAACATGTATAGTGAAAGAAATGGGAACAAGCTGATGGTGGAACGACTTTATTTTTTGCTATTTCTGTTGAACATAATGGTGCTGGAAAGTCCTTATAATAATGGTAAAGATTATCACATTTTAGACAGTGGAAGCCTCTTTTGCCCAAAAAAGGTAATTTCTAGAATTGCTACATAAGGCGGTCTGTGAAAAGTCAAAAGTATTGCCCTTAATAAGTACATATATATGAAATTTGTAAAATAGTCTTAGGTTCATTTAATTTTGATTTACTGTCATGTTTAAACAGTACCAGGCATGGTGGTGCACATCTATAATCCCAGCACTTGGGCGGCTGAGGCAAGAGGATTGCTGCAAATTCAAGGCCAGCTTGGGCTACATAGTGAGTTCAAGGCCATACCAAATGATATAGCAAGACAGACCCTGTCTCAAAAAAGCCAAAAAATTCTGAAAAAACAAATAACAAACAGAAAGCAATTTGTAGAGTCGGGCGTGGTGACACGTGCTTGTAATCCCAGCACTTGATAGGAAGGAAGATCGTGAGTTGGGGCTGCCTGAACTGTAGAGCAAGTTAAGGTTAACTTGGCCAACTCGGAGAGAAACCTTGTCTCAAAATGAAAAAGTCTGTAATATAAATTACAAAGTGATATCCCATTTTTCCCAAAAAGAGGATTATGTAGAAGGAGGAATTTTGTTGTTAGAGATCCGAATCACCTTTTTAAGGTTTGTGTGGTGGAGGCAAGAATCCAGTGATGTGTGGACTGTGTAATGTGTAGCTTTCTATAGTATATACTACATAAAAATCCTACTTTAGAAAGTGTCTTTGCATTTTTGCACTTCAACTTTTTGTGAAAGTTGAATTTCATTGTGAAGTTATAATTTCATTGTAACCTATCAGTGTTTGATTTGCTTTTGAGTTAACTTGATTTTATGAGCATGAAGTTTATTTCTTTGATAATTGGGGGAGATACTGACTTTGAAAGTTTCACTCTAAAATTTATACTACACAAATACTTAATTTGTATAACAGTATATTATATTTCTTCCTCATCATATGTTTAAGTGATTTTTGACAATAAGCTCTTTAAAATAATTGCTTTTAAAACTGATCTTATGAAAGGCTTGTTTATAGAAGCATTTAGTGTTTTGGGAAACCCTAACCTTACGAATAGTTATCAGATATGTGTTAGTTCTTTGTTTGTTTACCTTTCATGAAAAGAAAAATTTTGCTGGTTGAATTTTCTAAGCCTTCAACATTAGGCGTAACTGGTTGTTGCTTGGCATGGTGATGTATGCGTAGTTTTAGCGTTCAGGGCAGAAGAAGGAGAATTGTGAGTTCGAGGCCAACCTGGGCTACATAGCAAGACCTGGTCTCAAAAACACAAACAGACAAACAAAAAACTGGTTATTTATGCTGGATGTTTCTCTAATTTTAATGTTTTGCTTTTGTTTTCTTTTTATTCAAAATTAAATGAAGCCATACTGTAATATAGACATGTGAGTTTTTATGTATAAGGAGCTCCTTATTTTACTGGAAAGTGTTTTTGTACTAAATTATAAAGATAGCTTCCTTATATTTAGGCGTTCTTTATTATGCAGTTACACACAATTCATAAGTGATGAACTGAAAGTTAACTTTAAGCATACGTTTAACCACCTTTAATTATTAAAATAATGAGTTGGTATATGGATGAGTTTGAGTTCATAGTACCCATGCTTTAACATCTGAATAAGACACCTATGGTATGAATTACCCTGTAGACTTTGAAGGATGTTGTTGTGTCCATGATCACTGAGAAGATCCTGGCTTTAAGTAGACATTTTAAAATAGAAGAGCCTTAAAAATGGTTTGACAGATGAGGAATTTCAAGTTTTGTTTTTGTTTTAGATTGATATTTTGTTTGCAAGATTAGCACTGCAGACTATTCCAGAAGATTTGGACCTACGAGATGACAGTCTGCTTAAAAATTTAGATATAAGATGCATAAGAAGTCTTAATGGTATGTAAAAAAGCCTACTTCCTTTTGCATAATTGGAGTTATCAGATATTAAGTAGTTGTTTTTAGCTGTATTTTTGCATGCAGCTTTTTATAGCCATTTTCTCAATCCATAGTGAGTCATGTAAAGTGTATTCCTATAGAATGTAGAGAAGTGTCTCATGGTTTATTTTATTCGTTACTACTTTTTTCTATCCTGTTATTAATGATACTTGCGTGCTCACAAAAACTGACATTGTGCTCTCTTTCTAGTGATTTAGCTTTTACCCTGCAGCCCTAATTAATCTGAATCCTGGAATCCCTTTGTAATGCTGTCAGTTCTGACTTTTAAGAGGGCTGTTTTTGAACCACTTTATATTAGCCTACTTCTGTTACCAATCTCTTGGACAACAGTTCTTGGAAACTTAAGTGCATTGAATCCTTAGTGTAGAACAAATTTTGTTGTCGTACTGGGGATTGAACTCTACCACTGACCTGCATATCCATTCCTTTTTATTTTGAGACAAGATCTCTCTAAGTTGTCCAGGCTGGCCTCGAACTTGTTGTCCTCCTGCCTTAGCTTTCTGAGTTGCTGGGGTTGCGGATGTGTGCCACTGTGCCTGGCAGAAGTTTTCATTATGAGTTGCAAGTTTGAGATGAAACAGATAACACTTTGTTTTCTTTGGTTTAGTTAGGCCTGTGTTTGTGGTGGGAGATAAATGCTTTAGATTTTGGTTTTTTTCTCGTTAGTGTTTCCATCAAATAAGAGTTGTTTAATATGACAGCAGTTGCAGAAAATTTGGAAGGTATATTATCATAAACTTCGATGATTTAATTTTTTTTTTTTTTTTTTTTTCTTTTTTTACTCCTATTAATCAGGTTGCAGGGTAACCGATGAAATTTTACATCTAGTACCAAACATTGACAACTTCAGGTTAACTCTGAGAGCTATCAAACTGTGGGCCAAACGTGAGTTCAGAATTTGTTTGCTAGCTTATTAAAAATGTTTAAACTTTTATCCAACACTAATTTATCTTTTTGCTTTTCTCTGATCAACAGGCCACAACATCTATTCCAATATATTAGGTTTCCTCGGCGGTGTTTCCTGGGCTATGCTAGTAGCAAGAACTTGCCAGCTTTATCCAAATGCAATAGCATCAACTCTTGTACATAAATTTTTCTTGGTATTTTCTAAATGGTATGTGTTTAGATTATATTAAAATAAAATTTTATTGTAGACACTGAAGTTTAGTCTTATTTCTGACATTTCTGCAGCTGGTTTCAGATTCAAATTGTAGTTCCTGAATTAGGTATTTAGATAGCTTTGGGAGATCACATTGTATATAAAATGGCAAACCTGAACTCCGTTAGTTTTTCAAAGCTTTCAGGATAGTAGAACAAATTCTGTTTGTACCTATTTGCATAAACCTGCCCTCCATGTAAACTCCTGAGTTTAGTTGAAATGCCTGTTAAAATCCAATTTATTAATAGGTTGGGGTATCACTTACTTTTGGATAAACTTAACACGCATCACTTCTTTCACTTTTTGAATACTGTTTAAAGCCATAGGCCATTAATATTTATAATTACTTGGACTTTCAGCCATTCATTTATCTTTGATAAAATATTAAAGATGTCAGTTTTATAAAAAGCTTTAGAAGAGTGAATCAATGTAGAGTACTTGAAAAAATTGCAGTGAGTTGCTTGACTAAAGTTATTCACTACCCAGGAGACTTGTGGTGTTACTACAGTTCCCTTATCTCAAGATGTCTACATCTGTCAGCCACGATTTCCTTGAAGAAAAGTTAGATTATTGCCATTTCATAGTAGTTGCTTTGCCCTTCAAAGTACCATTCTTGATTTTTGATCACATTTATCCTAGAGATTTAGGTATTTCTTCTTGATTCCTGCCTATTTATACCCCTTTGTCTGCAAAAATAATTACCCTAGTAATTTTATAAAAATTATAGAGCATTTATAATTTCAAACTCTGCCCAACTTTCTGATACGCATCCTGAGGTTTTACAGTTTGATAGCACAATTTAACCATATATGTTAAAGTGTTTATCAAATTTAGAACATCTTTTTCTCTAAAGGCTACACCTCTACAAACAGTGATTTTAGGAAGTTAACCTTGATATCGAGGGAGCAGATGTTTCCATTTTTTTTCTCTTCTTTAAAAAAACTGAAGTAGCTAATGTATAGGTTGCTTCCCATATACTGTATTCAACCACAGTTCACTACATTTATCCATACTGCATTTAAGTTGTGAAACAAAAATTGTTCTGTTTAATTTTTGTGATTATTCACATCCTTTTAACTGTAATGGGAAGTATCACCCTTTAGACTAGTTTCTTTGGATAAAACTAGTATAAAGATGGGATTTTTGTCTGTTTCAAGGTTGAGGTGAATACATTATCTTGAGCTGGTGCTTTTTTTAGTTAAATACTGTTTTATTACATGTTTTGAGAGGCAGAGATATTTATCTTCAGTTTGAGAATGCTATCAAATGTTCTAATTTCATAGAAGACAAATAATCTAACAACAGCAGGGATAAATAAAAGAGTATTGTGTACCAAAATGAATGAAGAAGGATCACATTCACAAATGCTGTATGTTTAACAAAATACTTGTAGATGGTAATATCCAATAGTCTTATCAAGTGCTACAATCTTTTTGAACAGGGAATGGCCAAATCCAGTGCTATTGAAACAGCCTGAAGAATGCAATCTTAATTTGCCTGTATGGGACCCAAGGGTTAGTGTATTATTTTTTCCCCTACAAATTCACACTGTGCAATAACAAGTAAAAGTCATCTGCATAAACTCCAGGGAGCCTTCCCAGCCTTTTACAAAGTATGAGTGGACATATCTGTATTACACTTTCTTTTAGATAACCTCATCTATAATTGTCCTCTGATGTGAGAAGCATAATGATGTACCCTGTGAACCACATTTAATTGTACATAGTTTCTAATACAAATTTTACTAACATTTTAAATCTATATAGAACTACCTTGTAAATCAAAGTTGTGTGGGCATTTGTGCTTTAAAAAAATAAAAGGATACTAAAAATCCCTGTATTTTTTCATTTGATCTAAATATTTTGTTAAAATTCGGATGTTGTAGGAAAGCTGTTGCTTAACGGTTTACACGTAGTAGATAATATCTAAGCAGTATCATTCTAGTCACTACGTATAGTTGTAAATATTGGTTTATATATTTTAGATTACAAAAACATGGTTGGGCTAAAGAAGGGCTTCTGTTTTGTTTCTTGGGAAGTTATGACATTTGCTGCTTGCAATGTCAATGTTAACATGAATTTTATTAGGTTTTAAGTTTTTATTATTTTATTTTTTTAGAGGCAGCATCTCACTGTGTGATTCAGGCTTAAACTCACTGTGTAAGCCCAGGCTGGCCTTGAACTCAACGCAGTCCTCTTGCTTCAGCCTCCTAAGTGCTGGGATTACAGATGTGTTCCCACCCCAGCTATATTAGTTGAGGAAGCAGATTTGGATTAGAATAAGGTTTATGCAGTTCTATTTTTCTAAATTAATTTGCTATCTTGTTACAGTATCAAAAACTTTTACATTCTGTATTTTCAAGTTTTCCAAACCTTAAGGCATTGAATTTTGGGAGGATGTGAGTTCATAGTTCCTATTGTGGGATATGTCACTTAACCACCAATATACAGATTGATAGCCACCTTTTAGAATGCTGTCAGTGTAGGCAAAATAGATTTACTGTGTGTCACTAATCTTCCATGCAAGGATGTATTAAAAACTAGTTTCTATTTTGTTTTATACAGAATAACTTGTAGCATTACATTTCTTTATAATTGTGTGAACAGTTTTTTGGTTTTTTTGCTTAGAAGACACATTTTTTCTAGTAAGGTTGCTAAAATTATCATGCCGGAATGATTACAACAAGCCATTAGTTTATACCAAATCTCTGATTCTGTAATCTCTCCTTTCATGATTTTTCTTTCTCAACTCCAGCTATGAATGATAAAAATTTAATCAGGGTTCAGTTTAACAAGGGGTAAAAAGTCCGAGTATCTGTTGCATTGTTCTTGAAGAAACTGATTGGCTGTTGTTGTATGTAGGTAAACCCCAGTGATAGGTACCATCTTATGCCTATAATTACACCAGCATACCCACAACAGAACTCCACGTACAATGTGTCCGTTTCAACACGGATGGTCATGGTTGAGGAGTTTAAACAAGGTAAGTGTTTATCCTTATGATCTCCTTTATACCTGAAGATTACATACCATTGTAGACTCAGTAATCAGCTGTGCACTTCATTGAAGAACGCATTCACTGAATTGGATTTTGGTGTTCGTTTTTGATTACAGTAAATATTTGAGAATCATTTCTTTTAGGTAGTTTAGTTTTGATTGTATGTCGGAAGATTAACCAGTAGTTAAAATCATGTCCTTAGCTGGGTCATAAAGGGCCGGCTTAGTGCTATTCTGTTGCTGTCTAAAAGTATAAACAGCATTAACGTTTTGCCTCTACTGCATGGTGTGAAGAACTCTTAGCGGGTTTTATACTCTACTCCTTGAAAGAAACAGGTTTGGGGGAAAACACCCTTTATTCTAAAAAAAACTTGTGTACTTTATTGAACTTTTGGGGGGTTTTATTTGTTTTTAAATTTAAACCTATACCTCTTAGCATGTGGGCTTTCAGGGAAGTAACCAGAATAGGATTGTTTCATGAGTGTGTAGACAAGGAAGTAGAAGAAAATCTTTGAGTACCAGCTTTACATTTAGAAGGTTAATATCCTTTCCTTTTGTCCAGGGAGGCTTTTCGTAGGAAGGTGCTTTTAATCCCTTTAGCCATAGCAGCTAGCTTGTTTTTAGAAAGGAGAAACAAAGTACACATATGGGAAACTTGTCTTTCTTTGATAACAGTGCTTCAATTTTGAGGGATTTGTTCTGTGAGGTTGGCATTTCAAAGTAATGGTGATTTACAAGCAATCTGGCTCTCAAAAAATGCTCCAGCATTTTTGAAAAAAATGTATGTAAGAATATGCTGTAAAGCCATAAATTAAAATGCTCATCATTTAGTTTTAGGATTACACTGAATGCATGTGGTATATTTATTTAAAATTCTAGATTATTAGACTGAAGGATACAAACATTTTAATATGTTTTTAATTTAGGTCTTGCTATCACAGATGAAATTTTGCTGAGTAAGGCAGAGTGGTCCAAACTTTTTGAAGCTCCAAACTTCTTTCAAAAGTACAAGTATGTATTTTAAGGCATGTTGGTCGGATATGTTGCTCTTTTTAACTAATGGTTTATTGATAGTATAAATGGTGTCTGTTCTTCCTAGACTAATGTAGTTTTGGATTTTCCTTCTGACAAAGGACGTAATCATGTTTGGTAAATTCCGTATTTTCTTTTTTGTCAGAATAACATATGGCCCCTACAGTTTTGTCGCCTCATCTTAATGAACTACTGCATTCATAGCAGCATCAGTTCTGTAGGGTTGTGTCAGTTGGGTACAGTACTCTATCTTGGCAAAGATCTGTAGTTAGGTTTCCTCTTAAGAAGCTAAGTACCGGCTGGGGATTTAGCTCAGCGGCACAGCGCCTGCCTGATAAGCGTGAGGTCGTGAGTTTGAGTCCTGGTACTGGAAGCTAAGTACTTGATCTGCTTTAGGAAACTTGTTTATCCTTAATAGTCTTGTTATACATATATAGTTAATAAAATGTCAATGAACTGTGGCCAGTTAAGTGTTTTCATAACTGAAATTGTTGGCCTACCCCAGTGTCAATCTCCTTCAATACCTTTACAAACAATTTTCCTGGGGTTTAAATGAGTATAATTATTTTTATTAGTGTTTTTTTTAAAAACAACACATAAATACAACCTAAAACCACGGATTTACACTCTTTATTTTATGTGGGCTGAAACTTTGCCATAGTCCCATTGAAAATTTTTTAATGCTTGAAACTTCTCTTGACCATTTGATCTTACGTTGGATTGTGTTTTGTAATAATCTAAGGATTATTTTATGCTATTACTAATTAAAAAAAGAATGGTGACCTTCATGATGTCTCTGTGTTTTGTTTTTGTTATCTTTTGCATGAAAAAGCAGTAATTGACCCAGCTTATTTGTATTCTAGGAGCACTACATTAATAAAATTTAGCATAATGTAGAATGTTCTTGTTTTGTTACTTCCTCAAATTGTGCTTTTCATTTGACAGTGTTTTGGTTTTTATTTTAACTAAAATTTGGGAGAAGTATCTTTGAATGTTTAATAAACATACACTAGTACTTTAAGAGACATAATTACATACATGTAAGGAGAAGGATAAAGAAAAGTCTACTAGAAAAATATCTCTTAATTTCTGAGAATTAAAAATGGATTCTTTTAGCTGGGCATGGTGGTGCACACCTGTAATCCTAGCACTCTGGGAGGCTGAGCCAAGAGGATTGCAGCTACATACTAAGTTCAGGGCCAGCCAGGACTATATACAAGACCCTATCTCAATTAAAAAAAACAAAGATTTTTTTCAAATTTCTTGGTATGAATAGAGGGTCTTGAAAGTATATGCTTAAATAAACCGATTCCTTCATTTTCAGAAAGATTAACTTGGAAATTGGAAAATGACATTGCCAGAGTCATTTGAAAATTGACATTCAAACTTTGGTGCTCCCCTACCCCGCAAGTGCTTGGGATTGAACCCAGGGCCTGTATACTGAACTGCATTCCTAGGCATTTTTAAAAATTTTAATCTAAGCCTGGGCTACAAAGTGAGCTCAAGGCCAGCCTGGACCGCATAGCGAGACGCTGTCTCAAAAAGACAAAAAAAAAAAAAAAAAAAAAAAAAAAAAAAACATAAAAAAATAAAAATTATAATCTAGAATCTCTAAGTTACCCAGGGTGAAACTCAAACTTGGAACTCTCTTGCCTTTGCCCTAGCTTCCCTCAATGGTACTTTTAGGTGTCTGGCACATGCCTGGCTTGGATCTTCCCATAATTTAAAGCTTGCTTAATATTTCTTTAAATGGGTTTTTTAAAACTATACTTTATTCTTTGCCAAATAGTACCTACCCATCTTACATGTGAATAGCCTTAGTGAAACAGTCATATCTTTTTAGGTTATTAAAAATGACTTCACATATGGGGAAGTAGGCAAACTTCAGGAAAATTTAAGTGTGTTGTCAAAAAACTAATATTTGGAGGCATAACAATATGTTAATTTTATCTGTACTTAGTTCTATTTATATTATTAACTCTTCATCAGAAATGTCTCCTTTTAACGTTCAGTGATGACTGCCATTATTAGGCTTTCGAGATATTCATATATTTGAATTTTTAAAAAGTATGTCTTCATATTTAATATCCTAATAACTGGCTATATCCTGAATTGGAATTCTTTTCCCTAGATTGAAAGTTGGTTAAACATTCTTTGGAGCATATCTTTAAAATATCATTTGGTATGTATAGTTTTAAATTTGAAATATATCTGTCATTCTTGGAAGAGACGGAATTATAGAGAAAATTTAACTTGTCTTAAAAATCCAACAAATTATTTTCCACAAAAAAATACCAGCCTGCCTTGAAAGAAAGGGGAGAGGACTGTTTTGTAAAATTTTAGAGTTCAAAAAATATGTTTTCCATAGCTCTTTAACATAATTTCACAACTAGCAGTAAGATACATTGTTAACATAGGAATAGTGAATGGACATTTCAGGCCTTACAGTTCATTAGAAAAGAAAAAAGGAAAGATACTAGCAAAGCCAAAACGATGTTCTAAGTGTAAGATTAATTTATAATTTTAATGAAGTATGTATAAAATAATTTAGCCTAATTTTTTAAAAGATACAAAATGTGTATTTGTACTTCTTAATTCTGAATTACATAAAGATAAAATTACAAGGATTTGTAAGAATTTCAGTGTTACCATCTGAGTTATGGTCTATACAGGTATAATATTGAGATGAAATGACCAGGAAATCTACTTAGAGGATGCTTTTTTGAAAACAATTATTAGGTAATATAACAAGTCAATGTAAGTATTGTTATAAGTGGATTTTATCCACATAGAATACATTTTGATAATTTTTATTGGAAACAACAGGATAATGTGTAAATTTGGGGAAAGGGTTATTGATGTTATATTACATTCAGAGCATGTTATGCAGATGTTTAAGACTACTGATTGAATGGCATTTGTGAAATAGAGGATCGCATATTTTGGTACAAAAACAAGTTTAGAAGTGTTTCTGTTTGTTTTCTATTCTGGTAGAGACCTTGGGAATTGAGTAATAATTCTGTTCTTAAAAGTAAATAGGTTTATAGAGAAAGAAGTTGGGGTTTTATTTTTAATTTTTTAGATGGGTTTTTATTTTTCTAATTACTCAAGAAAAATATTTACAGCTTATATTCTTCAATAGTTAAATTATTGCACTTACTGGCAGTTGAAGTTTGAGTAAGTGTGGTTGAGCAAAGAACATTCTCACTGTAAATATTATTAAACCTTTTACCTATATGTAAATATATGAATTTGTGTATAAACATTGTACAAAGAAGAAACCCACACCCATTTTGATACCAATCAGGGTTGAAAACTCTTTAGACTTCAAAGCTTTAAACTTTGAATTGCCATCAGAATTATATTCAGTAGGATGTATATTTTGTCTGAGTTCAAATGAGTGTATATTTGAGTGTACTGGTTTATTTTGTCTTTGTAAATAGAGACCTTTCTCCTGTATCACTTAAGCATTTGTTGAAGACTGGTACTGGTAAATAATATTTAATTTGACAGTGTTCTAAAGAATGATTTAAAAATTGGGAGTTTGTTCTTAACACTAGGTAATCCCAGACAACTTTATAAGGTTCTGCGGGCATGGGTGATGTTAATACTATTGTTAAAAGTTCCTACACTTAAGAGAGAGCTCTACTTTTATCTCTTTTTCCTATTTAAGAAAATTTAGTTCTAAGACACATTTTTTTAATAGCCCAGGAAGTTCAAATTCCAGCAAGGATTCTTGTTTCAATTTATGGCTCTGAGTATGAGTTTCTTTATACACACTGCGTGAGCTTTTACAGTTTTGTGTGACCTGGTTTGTGCCTGTACATTTTCACATATCCATGTAGACATATGTTTCATTTGTGTTTATATGTATACATACACACCTTTTTCTGTACATTTGCCTCTGTCAATTTGTAAATACTTAACATTTAAATATTTTTGCCAGTAAAGTACTATTATCCCATTACAGGTGATGTGCGCAAGTCTTTGAATTAAACCAGGGTTACAAAGAGTTGGAGCTAGTTTTTCCTGTGTTGTGAACATAATTTAAACAATAGGTGGGCTGTTTTAAGGAAGCGTGGTTTAAAAATGCTTTTGGTCCGTAGACTTGTTAACCTTTCGTAAAATGTCCTTATGTTATTTCTTTTGAACTATGGCAGTTTTTTCCTGGCTCTGGTCAGACTTATATCTGGGTAGAAACCATACTTGTAAAATGTGAGAAAACATCAGAAAGCTTTTGGGCCTTTAGAAAAATAAGAAATACTGGCCATACTGTCACTTTCCTAAGTAGTATCCATGTTACTAGATAATGGTGTCATTTTACAAGTTGAGATAAAGCTGCTTCTGTGAAATTTAGCTTCCAGAACTTATTAGATAATGTAGAAGTGTTTATTTTACTGAATTTTATTAGTCTGAGAAAGATAGACTTATAATTATACTTTAAGTGTAATACTTGTAAGTTGACCTAAAAATAGATGTTTCATCATGATGGTGTTTTCTGAAATAAAACTTTGCTATTTCTCTATTTTGAATGGGATTGAATTCTGAAATCAGATGTATTTTGGTTGATTTTAGGAGTAGTGTTGTTTTTTTCTTGTCACAGAAACTTTCCCTGTTACCTTGGAGAAGTCATGGGGCCTGATTTTGCTTTCCATGACCATTTCATATTATTTTAAAAATGTGATACATTTGATGTTAGTCATTTTAATTTTATTAGTATTAGTATTAGTATTACTTTTGTGGCCAAGCCCTGATGTTTTGTTTCCATTAAAACATGTTTGTTGAACAGGTATTTCAGTGTGCAGCTCTTTCCTGGGTAGAGAGCCCTTCATTGGAGCTGTTGAGCGGGACTGTCAGTGTTTATTCAGCCTTCTTAAATTCAGCTGCTGTTTCAGTAATTCATAACCTCACTTTTTTTCTTTATTTCAGAAAAAAAATTTTAGAGCAGCGTGATTTACTCTGCCACAGTTCTAGAGACAGATTTTTCCAGAAATACTAAACTTCCTAGTAGTTAGAAACAGGGAATTTAGTTACGTGATTGTATGTGCATATTGAGATTGTAGCCTTGCTAAACTGATACTGATCTGTAGTTGTAAAACTTATTTTGTTATGGTTTTGATATCCAACATAAAGCACATACATAAAATAAATAGCGTGTTGTCTTTATCTTCAAAGGCATTATATTGTACTTCTAGCAAGTGCACCAACAGAAAAACAACGCCTAGAATGGTGAGTAGTAGATCAGACTTTACAGAAAAAATAAACTTCAAATTGAGCCAGATAGACATAGTAGGAGATGGAAGCCTTTAAGACGCAGAGCTTTTTTGATTTGTTCCTAAGTAGAATGTTATTACTAGTGGAAGTCCAGGAATGCGGGGATCCATATGCATCTTTATTTTTTGCTTTATTAAAGAGCTATGTACCGTTTTTTTAAAAAATGCTTTGTTTTTAGCTTGCGGATTTTTCTTTAAATGTTCGTGGGAATATCTCTTGTAACCTTCCTGATTCGGATGAACTGTGCTTTTTCGCTTTTCCCCTCAAGTTAAGCCTTCATGGGTAGAGCACAATGCTTTTGAGTTTTTTGGGGGAGAGGGAGATAGTTTATCCAGTTGAACGGCCTTGCTATATGTTTTAAGTTGGATATGATCTTCATATTTTTTACATAAACATTTGATTTTTTTAAAAAAGTAAACTCAACCAAAACTTTCATTAATAGTACATAACATTTGTTCAGGGTGGGCTTGGTGGAATCAAAAATCCGAATCCTGGTTGGAAGCTTGGAGAAGAATGAATTTATTACATTGGCTCATGTGAATCCCCAGTCGTTCCCAGCACCCAAGGAAAACCCTGACAAGTAAGCAGCCTTCTGATGAGTCTCATTTTCCCACCCATCTTTCAGCTTCATTCATAGATGCTCACAGACAATTTTTATAAATAGTATCACTATTGTTGATTTTATATATAGCTCAAAGCAAATTTAAATTTTTTAACTTCATTTTTTTCCTGATCAGAAAAATTGAAGAGGCTTTCTTGAAAACTCAGCACTGAAATAAAATTTTTTCTCTAAAAATAGTTTCTAATGAGGTGCTGAGTTCACATTTTGCAGATCTGCTGTAGTGCTGTTTGTAGTTTTTCTTAACCTTCCTTTTTCTCCTGTCCTGTATAATGTACCTGCTATACCAAACGTCACTCTTTTATTAATTGAGATACATTTTGATTTGACCTTGCAAAATTTCTGGTATGTGGTGGATTCTAGACTATTCCTAAGAGACAGGAATAAAAATAATAGGCTTACTTTTTCTTCGAAGAATCTTGCAAAGGTCAGTTGCTAGTTTTATTATTACTGTTAACTTGAGACTTTATATTTTCTTGCATTTGGGGAAATAGTAGAGTAATAGTAATAACATTGTATAAGATAAACATCAGAGAAAGATTGATAAATACAAGTTTGTTATTGTAGAATATTTTGATTCTTTGAACTGTTTACAGCTTTTTGGTTACTACTCCTTTAATTATTAAAATACCTGATGTTTTAATCAGTAAATCCACTGTTCAGTATTGAGAAATAGCTGAATCAACTGGTTCTGTTGCTATGTTAGTCAAATTTATATTCCTTCCAAATTAACTTTTAAAAGTTTGATAAATAAGTTCTAGTTAAATTTTTATATTTAGAGCCAAGCATATAGCTCAGTGGCACAAGCACCTGTGTGGCAAGCACAAGGTCCTAAGTTTGATTCCAGGTACCAAAAAAATCAAATTTTTATATTTAGAAATGAACGTTCAGACTTCGCTAAAAAGTATCCATCTTTCCCCCTCATTAGTTTGAATGTAATTTGTCTTTGATTCTGGTGCCCCTGGTGTCTTAGAATCATTAAAAACATGCAGATGTAATAAGAATATTCTTGTTCTGGAAGTCTGATTGTTTTATGTGGTAGTAGAAATGTAGAGAAGCAGTTTCAAGTAAAACTTTGAGCTCTGATTGAGTCTGGGCGTTGAGCCTAATTTGTCCATATATTTATATTATAGAATTTTCTACATAGCCCAGATGGTCATCCCATTGGTAGCTGTGTCATGAATCCTGATACAATGCTCTTCTTTACAGGGAAGAATTTCGTACAATGTGGGTGATTGGGTTAGTGTTTAAAAAAACAGAAAATTCTGAAAATCTCAGTGTTGATCTCACCTATGATATTCAGTCTTTCACAGATACAGGTATGTCTCTATTTGGATAATCAAAATATTTAGGTGCTTGCATTTTAAATGTGTCTTGATATGTAAAGTACCTAGTTATATTTATAATTATTGACATTACTTGAGAAGGTTGGACAGCAGCCATAAAATAAGGTTGATGGTTTTGAATCGGTTACTAGTTCCAGTAAAAAATGTCTGATACATAAATGACTTCTCTATTGTGATAGTCCTTTAAAAGTTAAGTAGAACCTTTTTAAAATTTGTCCATAATTCCATGTGAAATTAGAAACAATCTGAATGTTCTAGTGATGTCTATAATAATAGTATTTCTGACTGCCATTGTCACTTTGAACCTTAGAAATTGATTAAGCTGAACCTGTACTAGCTTGAAGAAATTTTTCTCATTTGTGAAATAGAGATTCAAGTGTTAGTTCATAGGTGAGATACAGGCTGATTATGTTTACATTTCAGATTGACTTGTCATAGATAAAGGTATATGTTTTAACTAAAGATTGAATTGAGGATACAGTTGACAGAACAGAAAGCCATGCCATAGATGAATAGCTTCTCAAGGAACTAGTGAACATACATAGGGATAATTATATCTTTGTGAAGGACTAAATTCTGTTCTCTTTGAAATATCCCTCCTTCTCCAATATAAACAATTTTAGTAAACGGCATTTTCTGCTGTCAATACGTGTTTTCTCTTTAAATATTGATATTTAACATTAAATTTTCACATATTAAAGAAAAAGAAAAAATTGGAGATAATTTGTTAAAAAGCTAGGTGGGTTGGGTGTGGCACACATGTGACCCTAGCTGTTTGGGAGGCTGAGGCAGGAGGATTGCAAGTTTAATGCCAGCCTGCACAACACCATTTCAGAAATAAAATTTAACAACAGGGGTTAGATTGTGGCTTAGTGGTAAAGTGCTTGCCTGGTATGTATGAGGCCCTAAGTTTGATCTGCAGTATTGAGAAAGAAAGAAGGAAGAAAAGAAAGTTCAGTATTATACACTATAATGTAAAGGAGAAATAAAGAAAAAGAATGCAGTAGTCTATGCTTATGAGCAATTCCACTTTTCCACAATTTCATTTGTTCAGTGTTGGCCACTGTCTGTAAGTACTACAGAAGTAATTCACAAATTTAAAATTGTGTTCTGTGCAGAGTAGCATGGTGAAACGGCATTGTAAACACTGCAGTTCTAGTGTAGCCATAGGTTATCAGGCAGTTGCCATATTGCTATTCTTGGATTTAAGTGTCCCTTACATAGCAGCCTAATGTTATACCTAAGTGCCCGAGTCATCCTCATCTCATCACAGCATCATGTCATCTTACATCGTCGCACTTCTGAACAAGGGTGAGCATAGCGCGGTAGAATACTGAAAGACCCCACACTCAGCTATTAGGATATACTGTTAACATTGTTCTTTTTTAGTATTAGTTCCTGTTGATGTTTTACTGTTCTACTTTATAATTTTAACTTTATCATAGGTATGTGGAAGAACCATAATAGATAGAGGGTTTAGTATTTCAGGGTTTCAGGTATCAGTTGCCGGGGAGGGGTTGGAACAGACTGCCTGCAGACAAGGATTGATTTTTGTCTGGATTTTGGTATAAATGCCCAGGTACAGTGACAGTGGAAGAGGTACATAAGACACCAACTGGTTGCACCTTTATGTCTGACCACTAGCAGTGCTGCTCATGCATTCCTACTGGGTGGGTGTTTTTTGTAGTGATTCTGATAACCGTCAACAGTGTTGCCATTAGTAACATGATAGAACTTAGATATAGAAGGTGATTTTTCTTCTTTTAGTTCCATGTTTAGGATAGTGTAATACAAGCAGGTATAAATAAAATAAGAAAAGCACTTTTTGATACAAAAAAATGAAAAAACATATTTCATAACAATAACTGGTTAGTACAGTGCGTTTCATAATCTTCAAAGAATGTCAAGACTGTTACAGTACAATTTGTGGACTAAAAGGACTCACCAAAAAGAAACAGGCAGATAAAAGCACAAAACTTGCTCTTCAGTGAGCTGAGGCAAACTAGTAACATAAACAAATTAGCAGGAAATAAATAAATTAGCATATATAGTAAAGTTTTTGAAGTAGTGGAATAATTTGGGGACCTCTTTGGATGTCTCCTTACCTTATCTTCTATTTCTGCTCTCTTTCGTTTTCTCCGTATATAGTATATAGTTCAGTTTCTCGTACAAGGGAAACCATATTTCAGCTCATATGTCTGACTTATTTCACTTAACATTATGTTCTCAGGTTGTATCCATTTACACATTTATCTTTCTTTATGGCAAAATTGTACTTCATTTTGTGAATAAATACATTTCCTTTTTCATTTATCTTTTGATGTTTCGAAGGTAATGCTATTTTGTGCTACTCTAAACATGAGTATGCATGGATCCCTGTAATATAACTTTAACTCTTTTGGGAAGATAGCTAGAAGGGGGATAGCTGGGTCAAATGAAATTTTTATTTTCTGGAGGAATCTGCACATTGATTTTCAGTTCTTTTATTTGGTGCTGGGGAGTGTACTCAGGACATTGCACTTGCTAGGTATATACTCTACCACTCAGCTATACTGTCCAACTATTGATCTAATTTTGATACATAATCTTTGTGTTCTTGACAACTTTAGATTAAAATACATTGAGTTTTATATAAAATTAGTTTTTGGTTCAAAGAATTGCCAAATAAATTTTCATCATTAGGAAAGTAGGTTGAATGTAGTACAGTTGTTTGTGTAAAACAGTCCATGTTTTAAGGATATAACTTGTGACAATACAATCCCTACAGATTTTTAAGATGCTATCTATTGGTACTCCTTCTCATAGGTGCCACTGAAGTGCTTGTTCTAAAGTAAAAATTCTGGTGTCGGCCTAATCTGTTTATGAACAAACAAGCTATAGACAGATACTGAATTAGAATATAAGTTTTGTACACTGCATCAAGATTAGGCTGTTTATTAAAGATTGTACTACTGAATCATAGATTTTCAAGGATCTTTTAGATATTTGGGGAAAGATATTCAGTTTTGTATCTTGAGACATTTTAATAGAATTCTTTTTTGTTTTGTTTTGTTTTTTGTTTTTTTTTGGTTTTTCTCTGGTACCGGGAACCGAACTCACGACCTTGCGCTTGCCAGGCAGGCGCTTTTGCTGCTGAGCTAAATCCCCAGCCCCTAGAATTCTTGATGTAGCTTTTTAAATAAAACAAATATAACGTGTTCATAAGAGAAATTTTTGTCCCCAGTCTTTCCAGCTTTGAGTAGTTCAGGTGGTAGTGTTAGAAAACTTAGAGGCATTTGACTGTTTTTTTCACTATTTGACATTAATGCATTATGAAGTAGTTTTGCCTCTTTTTTCCAGAACTCATTGAGGTTCTTATTAATGTTATTTCTAATGCTAGTTCACACCACTTTTATTGTTCTGTTGGATTATTTTCCTTGCCGTAGCTTTTCTGTCCTGCCCTTGTCTACCTTACATTCTTACCTACCCTCCAAATGTTACCGTTAAGCCAAATCATATGTTGTCTGCTTAAAACCTATAATGGCTGCCCGTCTCGCTCAGAATGAAAGTCCACCGCTTGGCTTCTCCTCACCTGGCCTTGTTATTCTTACCTTCTCTGACTCCATTTTTAAAAGTTCGTAATCTCCAGATGTTTGGCCGGAAAGGGAGTAATGTTACAACCAAGATACATAAGATACACAGCAGGACCACGAGCAGCACTTGGGATCACAGATTGTTTGTAAGGAGCAATTGAATTCACCGAAGCCAAAGTTAAAGGCCAATAGCCACAGATAGCCGGGATCGCACGGTTCGTTTGTAGATAAGTTTTGACACGGGTCTTAAGGAAAACCTTCTGTGTTGGAAGATTCTGAGTTTTGCAAGTTGCAGAAGAGGGATTATGGATTCTACTGTTCGTCTTACCTTCTGGCCTTTTTCTTTTTTCTTTGCTGTTTTTCTTTTTTTGTTTCTCAGTTGATCCAGGCTTCCTGTTGAGGCCATCTGGTTCTTGATGTTTCCCTGAAATGTTATTCCTGTAGGTACTTTGAGCTCACTTTCTCATAATCATTTAAATCTTCAGTCAGATTTAACTCAGATGCTAGGCTGAGCTTTCCTCTGCCCTATTCAATTTTTCTCCATAGTACCTATCACCATTTGATATGCAGTATATTCTTTTGATTTTTGTTCATTGTATTCACTAGAATGTAGACTCTGTGAAATTCTTTTGGTCTCTTTTATTCTCTGTTGTTTTGTTTTTTTTTAGTTTGGTTTTTTTGAGACAGAGTCTCACTGTAGTTCAGGCTGGCCTGGATTCAGTATGTAGCCCAGACTGGCCTCGAACTCGGGGGACTACCCTCCTGCCTCAGCCTCCCAAGTGCTGGGATTACAGGCGTGCGCCACCACTCTGGCTCTTTATACTGTTACATCTTCAATTTTTACCTTATGGATACAGTCTTAGTTTAGATGCTCAATCAGTATTTATTGTATGAATGATTTTTCTCATTTTCAGGCCCTAGAACCTAAATAATTGGGTTTGTTTGTAGCATAAATAATAAGTAAAGTATTTTATTTGTAGCATAAATTTATTTGAACCTTTGACTTTTGGTATTTTTATAATAGAAAGTGTGCATCACTTCAAATTTTATCTTGCAGATTCTTAGAAAGGTATCTTTAGGTAGAGTTTAATAAATCTGACTTGACACATGTGTTAACATACTGAGAATAAAATTTTAAATTATACTGGTAACATGAAGGGAAATGGATTTTTTAATCCTTTTCCTGTAACTCTGATGTTTCTTAAACTGTTACTCTTTAAAGTTAACTACCTGAAGAGGTACATAAAGAATTACTACACCGGAAGATTAAGTATATTTTGTGTTTTTATTCATTATTATGTGCATCTTACGGTAAATTACAGTTTGTCCAGGCAGTGAGTTATATCAGGTGAGGGCCGTGTCACGAGCTGAGAGTTCTGTAAATGCGCAGAGTGATGGGAATAGGGGTCCCTACTTGGAATACGCCCGTTTCCTCAGTGAATTTAAACTTGCCTTTATTAAAATGTTTCTGTTTCTTGTAACAATGTCTAATTGTATAGTTTATAGGCAAGCAATAAACAGCAAGATGTTTGAGGTGGATATGAAAATTGCTGCAATGCATGTAAAAAGAAAGCAACTCCATCAACTACTACCTAATCATGTGCTTCAGAAAAAGAAAAAGGTAAATTTAGAGAGTACTTAACAGCAACATCACTAACATGTTTGTGCATCTATCCTGTCAGTATTTCAGAATTTAGGTTAATGGGTCACGTGAAATAGATTGTAGCATTTAAAAACCCTATTTTGTGAGAGCAGTTCTATTATGTAAAAACTTGCTCTAATCAGTTTTCTTTTTATTTTTTACACTTTTTGTTGGTGTTTGTTATTTTGAGACAGGTCCCTCTATGTAGTGCAGGCTGGCCTTGACCCACTCAGTAGCCCAGACTGCTCTGGAATTCACGGCAGTCCTCCTGCCTTAAGCCTCCTGAGTGTGGGGGCTGCAGCATGCACCACCATGCCTGGCCTCTAATCAGTTTACTTGGATACACTTATCTCAGACGTCAGATAAGCGGTGATACTTCAGATCCTTATTTTGTGTACACTCAAATTCTTACTATTTTTAAATTTTTATTAGTACATGTTTGTAATACATAATGGTTTTATTCATTACGCTTTTTTCAAACCTTTTATTCTTAAACATTTAAAATCTCACATGAATGTTGGATTCCTTTCATTGATTGACTGATGGTTGGTGTTTTTGGAGCCAGGGTCTTACTATATCACACAGGCCTTGAACTTGCTGTGTAACCCAGGCTGGGCTCAGACTCTCAGCAGACTCTCCCCTCTGCCTTTCAGTGCTAGGGTTATAACCTCCTCTCCTTTAAAAAGTAAACAAAATTAGCCGGGCGTGGTGGCGCATGCCTGTAAGCCCAGCATTCTGGAGGCTGAGGCAGGAGGATCGTTGGGAGTTCAAGACCATCCTGGGCTACAGAGTGGGGTCAAGGCCAGGCTGAACTGCATAGTGAGACCCTGTCTCAAAAAGACAAAAAAAAAAAAGTAAGCAAAATTAAATTAGATTATATCTGATTAAGTAAATTACATGTTTAAAAAATGAAATTGCCATTTTTGGTAAATGTACAAAAATACTTTATTCAAAAATTAAAAGTTACATTATTTAAAAATTAGATGTTATTGATTATAAAGGACAGACAGCAGAGGTAAGATAGTGCATAATGGTGTTTTAGATTTAATGCTTTCTTTTAAATAACTGAGCCTGCGTTCCCTTCTTTATTTGGACTCAGTAGTGATCATAGTGCAAATTTTAATGCACAATAACATCATCTGTTCTTTAATTGGTTTCAAAAACAGATGGCTTGGAAGGTTCAGAAGCACACCGTTATATAGTCCCACCTACTCAGAAGGCTGAGGCAGAAGGATCACTTGAGCCCGCGAGTTTGAGATTGGCTGCACAACATAGCGAGATCCCTTCTGAAAAAAAAATAAAGCAAAAGATAAGGTTGATGGCTTATTCCTATAATGGAATAAATACCTTACAGTACACAACAGTCAACATACATGAACTACAGTTGCATCTGCTAAGAAGACACACATGCATATGTACCATTTGATAATTACCTGTAAAGTTTACAAGTTTCAAAACTTACAAAGTAATATGTTTAAGAGAGACACGATGAAGTAAAGTATACATCAGGGAGTGATGAACACTATATTCAGGAAGACTCAGGCCCTGCTGTTTCCTATCTTGTGATATTAGGTAACAAACATCTGTTCTTGATTTTTTAAATTTTTTTTATTTTTTGTCCTTTTGAGACAGGGTTTTGCTATGGAATTCCGGCTGGCCTTGAACTCACTTTATAGCTAGGCTGGCTTTGAATTCCTGCCTCAGCCTTCTGAGTGCTGGGATTACAGGTGTGAGCCACCATATCCAGCCTTGTTCTTGATTTTCCTTATAGCTAAAATTGGGATAAAATTTTTCCCGATATCTTTAGATATTTTCATGATGATTAAATGAGTCAATCCATGTACCAGTGCCTGGGACATAGGAAATGGTTGTGGTAGCTTCTTGTACTGTTAGCACCATCATCTTTCAGAGCTTAGGGACAGCCACGTGAGGTGGGGGGGAGGGCCTAAAATGAACATTTTGAGGGCTTAACTATGCTAACTTTTCTTGGTCTTTTCTATGTTAGGGGATGCTGGATACCGAACCCAGGGCCTTAAATATAGTAGACAGGCAGTATACCACTGAGCTGTGCCCTCAGCCTATAATGTTACCTTTAAAAATTGTTGTTCTCTCCTCAGCACTGGGGAAAAATCTGCTTAAACTAATTTTTCGTGAATTAACTAATCTCGAAAGTGACCAGATTGTACTGTTCAGCAGTTTTAGTGTCATGTTAAACCTTGCCTTCTAATTGTCCTTCTTGGTTATTTATTTACTTGCAGTGCTGGGGATAGAACCCAGGGCCCTATATACGCATACTAAGCAGGCACTCTTATCAGTGAGCTACACCTTCAAATCTGATAGCATGTTATCAGTACGTTAAGGCAATTGCAATTAAATGTAAATTTGATGCATGTAAAAACACATAAAATTTTTTTGTTTTCATAAGTGAATGCAAATAGGTTGTTTCTTTAGCACGTAGCTATTCCAGCCTTAACTAGAAGATACTTATAACAGGCAACTGGACCTTCCAGTATTCTAGATTCACTGTGATGCTCTTAACTGTTGATTGTAGTACTGTTCTTTGGAACAGCTGTAAGTGAATGTTTTGGTGCTGGGGCTGGATGCAGGCTCACAGCAAGCTACATTCTCAGCATCTGTTTTTATTTTGAGACAGGATCTCAGTCTGGCCTTCAATTTGTGGTATTCCTGCCTCAGCCTCCCAGTATATATGCACCACCATACCTGGCTTAAGTGAATTTTAGTATGTTTTATTTTGACTGTGTTTAAGTAGTATTTTTTTAGAATTAACCATTTTGAATGTAAAGAGAATTATATAAAAGGAGAGTATCAGAAATTTACTGTTAAATTATTTATCAAATGAAGTAACTATTATCTTACCTTGTTCTTAATGTTTAGTTTATTTCTACAGTGACTCTTCAATGCACATTATCACATACATAGTTTTAAAAGGTTTTTGATGAAAATTAGTATTTTAGGGTCTACATTTTGTGCTTACTGTATTATGACCTCTATCCAAATGATCTTTACTGTTTCTTTGCATGGCTAGAATTTGATTAAATCTCTTTCTGTATTTGAAGTAATTTAGATTATTTCCTAGCTTCCATTATTAAAATAGCACTTTCTTCTTTCTTCTTCTTTTGGTTTTTGAGACAGGGTTTTGCTATGCAGTTCAGCCTGGCTTTGAATGCACTGTGTAGCCTAGGCTGGCCTCTAACATGTAGCAATCCTCAGCCTCAGCCTCCTGTGTACAGGAATTACAGGCGTGTGCTGCCACACCTGACCTAGCTTTCTTCTTTTTATAAACAACAAGTGTCTAGGAATCTGAATCCTGAACAGCTTGGTTTGTTTCATTTTGGTGTTTTGAGACAGGGCTCACTGTGTAGTTCAGGCCAGACTTGAACCCATCACAGTCTTCTGACTCCTCCTCCCACGTGCTGGGATCACAGACGTGTACTGTATTACCATAACCACCTTGCTTACTCTTAGCTCCTATTTGTGGAGCATCGTAACAGTCCTTTTCTATAGTTAATGTTCCAGCAACCCAGAGTATTGACTCTTACATGACAACCACAATAGTTGAGAAACAGCCACTTTGCAGTATAAGCTGGGAATTGGACCTAGGTCTGACTGAAAAGTATGAGCATTTATTTCTCTGAAGTATGCTCTTTGTCCTGTTTTCTTTTAGAATGTTTATGATTATTTGGCTTTGAAATCTTTTCCTATTAATCTTGATACAGACACAGAACTTAGCAAAGTAGAATGCTGTTTTATCTTCAGACCAAGCAGTTAAAATCTTCACACATTTACACATCCTTAACCTACCATGTCACAGGTGTTTGGTCATGCCAGTACATGTATGTAATTGAACATAATTTACTTAGTAGAAGTATCCTCACATCCAGTGAAGAGTAAGGTTTGTGAATGTATCTGAGGAGGAAATATGCTTATTTAGAATATTACTTTGTTTTACAACTGGCTTATAAGCAAATACATTTTTTTTTTTTTTTGGTTTTTTTTGGTTTTTCTCCGGTACCGGGAACCGAACTCACGACCTTGCGCTTGCCAGGCAGGCACTTTTGCCACTGAGCTAAATCCCCAGCCCCGCAAATATATTATTTACTGTCCTCCCTCGTATCAAATCTCATCTTCTCCATTTGATCCTTTCTGATTTCTTTCCATAAGGGCCTTCCCTAGTACTCAGTCAGAGTTTGGAATGTCTTGTTGTTTGGGGAACTGAAGAGCAGAGCATCCCCGTAAACACGTATATTTGGAATGAGCCTTTGCGACAGTGCACATAATTTCCCTTAAAATGTTTCTGCTCGGGGCCGAGGTGTCCCTCAGCAATGGAGCCCTTGCTGAGCATGCTGTGAGTTTGACTCCTGCCATTGAAGGAGAGAAGGCCCCGGAGCAAATCACACGCACAGAACCCAAAACCTTTCTGTAATGAAGTGCGCATTGAGGCTGAGTGTATTCTGGGAAAAGAACAGAGCCAGAGGAATCAGTGTAATGTTGTAGTAGCACTTGCTCGCAAAATTTAAAACTTTGTCAATTCAGATTTCGCTTTTAATCCCATGAGACCATCGATTTTTTTTGGTTTTCTTGTATTTTGTGTTTTAGAGTACTGTGTTTTGTTTTAAGTAGCAGAGCTAACATTAAGTTCTGTATGGCAATATTAGATTTAATTTTCCTTACATTTTTCGCAGGGTAATTAATGGGCCGATATTAAATGGACCATGTTAAAATCTAAATTGCAGTTAGAGCACTGGAAACCTCTTGCTTTTCATTCATTGTCATTTATTGACAATAAATACGTTTTTTCATGTATTTTCATTTGTTGAGTTCATTTATTGACAAATAATAATGGCAGTAAATTATGCTTGATAATTTTTGGGAATTGTATGTTCATTATGCGATAATTAAAAATTTAGAAGTAATGCCAGGTATGGTGTATGCACCTATAATCTCAGCTCCTTGGGAACCTTGGGCAGGAAGATCTTGTGAGCTTATGTGCTCAAGGCTAGTCTTAACAACAAAATAAGACCTGCTAGCCCTCCTTTCTCTCCCTCTCTGAATTTACAAATAATCACAAAATCACTTCTAACCGCAGTAGCCAGAAATGGTCATTGCTAGTGTCAGAGTGTTGAAATCTTTTTCCTCGTGTGTATGTATTTTTATAGTCTTTGGGTCCAAGATTCCATGTTTTCATAGTTATAGTGATTTTTGATTTGCATTGTGGTTTCAGTAAGTAGGTATGGTTTATGTAGCATTCTTGGCTTGTTTTCTCCTGTCATCTCTACTTGAGAAGTCTGTGACTCCCAGATCTTTGCCGTTGACAATTAGCTTGGCACTTAGAATTCTAATAAACTTAACGATTTCTCATTTTGAGTAGGGAGTATGTGTCGGTTAAGTGTTCATATTTCAAAGGCCTATGTGAAATAAAATTATATTTAATGAAATACTTTATTGATTGCAGCACTCAACAGAAGGAGTGAAATTAACAGCTCTGAATGACAGCAGCCTTGACTTGTCTATGGACAGTGACAACAGCATGTCTGTGCCTTCCCCCACCAGTGCTACGAAGACCAGTCCATTGAACAGCTCTGGCAGCTCTCAGGGGTAAGGGGACAAGCCAGAGCGCTCAGTAGCTATTGCTGAAACACGTGGAGATACATTCTCTTGGGATCATTAAGGTCAATTAGAGTGTTAATTTTATTTTACCTTCTGATATTTAAAAAAATAGCAACTCCGAGTTTGGGGACAGTAATTTGTAGTTTTGTCCTAATAGATCGATATGCCTTGATTTATTGTTGAACATTAGTTCTTTTCCCCTCACCTCTATTTATGTACTTATACATTGAGCTGTGTATGGTGTGCTGAGGAGAATGGGCAGAGGCACAAACTTACCTTTCTATCCTAGAGCTGCTTGTACACACAGGAGAACGTACCTCTGAAATGATTAGCGGTCTTGTGTAGAAAGTAAAGATCTCTGTGGAGTGGTTTTAGTTAAAGAAACCTTTTCTAGAAGAATTAAGTATCTTTTTAGAAATATTAAAAATACTATTTGAGCTGGGTACGGTGGCTCACACCTGTAATCCTAGCACTCAGGTAGCTGAGGTCAGAGGATTGCCTTGAGTTTGAGGCCAGCGTGGGCCACATAGTTCAAAACCAGCTTGAACTACTTAGTGAGGCCCTGCCTCAAAACAACAGAAAAAAAATCCAGAAAGGATATTTGAAATGCATATACGTGTACAGTAGTAAAAAATTTAGTTTCTTTATTACAGTGTATCCTTCTAGAAATTATTTTATTCCACTGTACTCTTATTTTCAGGTGAGGTCTTTATAGTTGACTTCAGCATTTTCAGCTATGATGGTTATGCTGATTAATAAGTTGACAGTTAAACTTGACCTTTTAAGACTACATATACTGTTTATTTCAGCGTTGGTTTTTTTATTGTTTTATTGTTTTATTTTTTATTTTTTTATTTTTTTGGTCTTGCTATGTAGTTCAGACTGGCCTTGAGCTCACTTTGTAGCCCAGGCTGGTCTTGAACTCACAACAAGCCTCCTGCCTCAACTTCCCGAGTGCTGGGTTTACAGGTGTGCGCCACCACACCTGGCATATTTCAGCTTTTTAAAAACAGTTAGAAATTGCACTGCTAGTGTATAACCTATGTCAGATAAACAGTTTGGGGATGATTCCCTTAGGAAAGTTGACATAGATGGTGCCTAGGTGTAGTGGATAAGTCAGTGGCTTTGTACTTTGTATGCATGGAGTATTTTTGAGCTAATCAAGGATAATCTAAAGACAGCAAACCCGAATATGTCCTTTAAATTTTATAATTTTAAAACAACTTCATAGAAAGCATTACCCACCAACACACATTCCCCCCCCTCTCCCCCTCCCCCTCTCACCCTCACACTTACTCTCACACTCTCTCAGGATAGAATCTAGGTCCTTTTTTCTTTTGGAGGGGGTACTGGGAATCGGACCTTGTGCTTGCCAGGCAGGCACTTGTGCCACTGAGCTGTATCACCGGCCCAGAATCTAGGTCCTTGCACTGAGCTAAATCCCTAGTCCCTTTCTTTTCTTATTTTTAGGCAGAGTTTCACTAAGTTGTGCAGACAGCCATGTGCCACTGTGCTTGACCTCTTCCTTTTTTATAGGATTGTTAGACTCCAAATCAGTTAAAAACAGGATCTTTTAGAACTGTTCTGTCCAATGTGATACTCACTAATCATAAGTGGCAATTTACAATTTAGTACTAAAAAAAATGAAATATTCAGTTTCTCACAATCCATATCTCGAGCACAGAAGACATCTTTTTAGTGACCACTATTTTGAATAGCACAGATAGGAGCATTTCTTCATCACAGTTCTGCTGGTTAGCGCTGCCCTATTGAATGTGTGCCTTTGGTGGTTGGTTATATTTTATTAAAGTCAGTTACAGAAGCATATGTGTTGGGAGGAAAATCCAAGAATCATTTATTTCAGACCTACACCTACTAAGTATTGTGTTGTTGTTATTGTCGTCTTTTAGTACTGGGAATTGAACTCACGACCTTGCAGTTGGCAGGCAGGCGCTGTATTGCTGAGCTATATCCCCAGCCCTAAATATTGTTACTGAATTTTGCTTTATGCTTACTTTTGTATTTGCTTTTAAACTTTAACTCATGGCAGGGGGGTTTTTCTTGTTAGCAGAAACAGTCCTGCTCCAGCTGTGACGGCAGCATCTGTGACCAACATCCAGGCTCCTGAAGTCTCTGTGCCACAAACAAATTCCAGTGACCGCTCAGGGGGTAAGAGATTGGTGTGATGTTTCAGAAAATTCTTGTGTTATAATTGGTTTTTAAAAAAAAAAAAAAAAAGAAATTGGTTTTAACCTTCAGTTTGAAAAAATGGGTTTATAGCCAGATGTGGTGGCGCACATCTGTAATCCCAGCACTTGGGAGGCTGAGACAGGAGGATCATTGCAAGTTCGAGACCAGCCTGGGCTACAAAGTGAGCTCAAGGCCAGCCTGAACTGCATAATGAGACTCTGTCTCAAAAAGACAAAAAAAAAAAAAAAGAAAGAAACAATGGGTTTGTGATTAAGTAGCTGGAGTTCAGTTTTTAGTGCTATTATTTGTCTGTAAAGGTTTTCACAAAATCAGAGCAGAGCTTGTAATTTGATACTGATGTGATTAATTTTATTTGCATGTTTTGCATACTTGCTATTCAGGTACATCGAGTGAAAGCATTCCTCAAACTGCCACACAGCCAGCCATTTCGCCACCACCAAAGCCTACAGTCTCCAGAGTTGTTTCCTCAACACGTCTGGTAAACCCACCACCTAGAACTTCAGGAAATGCAGCAACAAAAATACCTAACCCTATAGCAGGAGTCAAGAGGACATCCTCACCTCATAAAGAAGAAAGTCCCAAGAAACCCAAAACAGAAGAGGTATATATGTATATGTACATATATGTGTATACACATACCCACTCACACAGATAGAAAAAGTACATGAGTGAGCCATAGCTGCACCTTGTGTACTCTTGAATCTAGCAAAAGAAAACCTTTTTGTGAGCCAGAACTGAGGATCACAGCTGTTAGGAAAATTTTTTTGTGTCCGTAATACTTTGCCACCATAGTTTTTCTTCACTTTTCCCACTCTTTTAGTAACGACCTCCTTATAAATCCTGTTCTCTGGGGTAGACACAGTATGTGTGATTGCATGTGCATGTGTGCCCGCGTGCGTGTGTGTTGCTGCTGCTGCTGCATGGAATTGAACCTAGGATGTTGTGCATGGTAGGCAAGTGCTGTACCACTGAGGCGGTGTTCTTGGTCCTTTTAAACAAGTGTAGTCTACCACAAAATTACATCTTTTTTGGGGTGGAGGGTTTTGTGTAATGCTGGGGATTTAACCCAGGGCCCTGCATACTGAGCTACAGCACCAGCTCTTTTTATTTTGGGACAGAGGCCTGCTAAGTTGCCCGGGCCAGGCTTGAACTTGAGATCCTTCTCACTCAGTCTTCTAGAGTGCTGGAAATACAAATGTGCCACCACATCCATCTGGCTTAATTTTTTAATAACTATATATTTTACTGAGTTTTTGCTGCCCCCTTTTGGTCGATTTCTGCTCCATTGATAGAGATGGAGTTTTTATACTACAATTACAATGAAAAGATTGGTGAACTAGAGGTTTCTGGGCATTTGACCAGGGGCCCTGTGCATGCAAATCTGTAGTCACATTAGTTTGAGGAACTTGAATGATTAGATCTTTTAACCCTTCAGAAAATGTTTTAGAAATAGTTTAATTTTTTATAGTAGTGCCTTACTTATCAAAGACTCAAAAAGATTATGTTGATTTGGTGTGAGTTTGGTTATTTTTTTGTTGGTTGGTTTGTTTTTTTTTCAGTACCGGGAACCGAACTCACGACCTTGCGCTTGCCAGGCAGGTGCTGTGCTGCTGAGCTAAATCCCCAGCCCCTTGTTTTGTTTTGTTTTGTTTTGATTTGTTTTGTGCAGTGCAGTGGTGGGGATCAAGCCCAGTGTTGACTCTGCTAGGCAGGTGCCTTTAGCCCCTTGGTGAAAGGCTTAAATACAAGTAGTTTTGTAGTCTTTTTATGCAGTTTTATCTCTGGAATTACTCTAATGTTGTTTTCATATTATTGAGTCCTTCACCCTTACCCAGAGATCTCAGGCCACAATTACAAATACCATTGTCATTTTTGGCCAAAAATTCATTATTTAGGAACTTTTTAGAATGCAAAAAGTAATGTGGATTTCTTAAGGCATCCATTGTGTTGATTAATCATGGTGAAAAATAATTTGTGTCTAATTGAGTGCTTTTGTTTTACATAGTTTTTGGAATAGTTTGATGACTTTTATCACTCCTGGAATACTAGGTAGGCCGGGCATGGTGGTGCATGCCTGTAATCCCAGCATGCAGGAGGCTGAGGCAGGAGGATCACTAACAGTTCAAGGTGAGCCTGAGCTAAATAGTGAGTTCAAGGCGAGCCTGAACTGCATAGCATAACCCTGTCCTAAAAACAAATAAATACATTGCTACATAAGAGTCAGAGTGGGCGTAGTACGTCATACCTGACCACAGGGTGGACCCTTCAGACCCAGCTGTGCAGGCATCTGTTAAATCAATGTTTTTATCTTCAGTTGAGTTCCATTTTCAGGGTTTTTGTTTTGTCTTTTTTTTTTTTTAATAAGTTTTAAGGCCTCCAGAAACATTGGATCCGAGGAGTTAGGCCTGGGAGTCTCCTTCTGAACTTTGCCTGATGGCCGCAGTGTGCAGCAGCCTGAGAGCCTGCTAGTCCTGGTATAAACCCACATTTTACTATTGGTGGTATTGTGAGTTCTCAGGACATTTTAAGCAGCCCTCAGGTTTTTTATTTTACCCTGGCTAAGGATACAGAAACGTGACTCTTGCCTTTGAACCTTCAATTTATAAGAGGCACACTGAAAGCTCTTAGTAAATAAATATACCAGTGCTGTGTTTGTAATTTTGTTTGTGGTTATATTGGTAGATATATAGTTTAGAGGAGCACTAGGAATATAAAAGTTTTACACAGCATTAAAAGTTAAAAATATATTTTTAAGTGAAGAGAACCATTTATATCTATATATCTACCATGTAGTAGTAGTTATAATGAGCTGTCAACCCATCTCTATGCCCTTGATTCTGTCAACCTTTTCCATTTGTACTTTGTTTTTGAACTATTTAGAAGCACTATGTGGACATCATGTAACTCATTAGAATTTTTAAGTCATGTATATAAAGTCATGTACAAACAAAATGATCCCATTTTGATTTTTCTCCAGTACCGGGAACCGAACTCACGACCTTGCGCATGCCAGGCAGGCGCTTTTGCCGCTGAGCTAAATCCCCAGCCCCAAAATGATCCCATTTTGGAAAAGTTAATAGTTCATTAATATATCTCTCCATGTCTATTCACATTTCCCTGACTAGCTCGTTGATTTTTTTTTAATAGTTTCTCTGTTCAAATGTGGAGCTAAATAAAATCTCTACATTAAAATTACTTAAATTTTTTTGTGTCATATCCCCTGAGAGAGGATTGAACCCAGAGCCTTTGCAGTGAGGTACAAGACATCCCCAGCTCATTATTTTAAGACAGGTTCTCGCTAAGTTGCTATGTTTCCAGCCTGGCCTTAAACATGAGATACAGAAGGGCTCTTCTTGTATTTCATGTAGAAGGTAATTGCATTTCTCAGGAGAGAAACTTCAAGTACAGTGGCATTTCCAGATATAAAACTAATTTTAGAGGTAGAATTAAAACCGAGGCCTGCATCTCATGGTGCTAAGCTGAGGAAGTTTGTTATAGTATAAATATGCTAATATTGAAGCCCTCCTAAATTGAGTCATTTGTTCTCTCTGTTCATGAGTACTGGTGTTAGAAATTTTAGTGAGTCAGAAGGAAATATGGGTCTTGCTGAATCCACTAACATGTTATATAGGTAAGAGGGTGAGGTCAGATGAGGTGGTTTAGTTCTGATTAATGTATATCCTGTGCTAACGTTTTTCAAATAAATAGACATTATAGAGTAAAAGGAGAAAAAAAGATTACTCAAGTCTTGTGGATTGTATGGCTAATGTTGTCTGTCTCAGAAACTTGTTTGGAGAATTTCCCTTACAGATGTACTACACTGTCTTATTCGCTCACTTAGCTTCACAGCTCCCGCACAGCCCGCTTTGTTTTGTTACACACTTCTCTCCACCACTGTTTTCAGGCAGTTTTAACTATAAGTATTTTAGTGTGTATCTAAAATAAGGATTTCCCAAAAACCACAGACTATCATACCAACTTTGATAATATCTCTGTAGTGTCTGATATCCAGTCAGTATTCATACTTGTGCATTTGTGACATAAATCACTATGTAAGGTCTTTATTGGAATTAGTTTTTGTGGAATTAAATTTCTTCTAGTCTGTGTAAGCCTGTGGTTTCTGACCTCTTTTTTTTAGAGCTATTGAAATTGTTTTACCTCTGATTAGTAAGTAAACCTGGGAAGATAGTATCGTTTCTAAGATTTCAAGGAGGGTGTACCTTCAGGGTGTTCTTTCAGGTGTTAACAACAGGAATTACTAGGAAAGGGGGTATATATGTCATACTGTGGTCAATTACTTTTGTAAAGGTAAAGTGTTCTTTAAAGAATTTCTTAAGCTTTATATGTGCTCATGTATTGGTTTCCTGTAGCAGGTATGATAGTACCCCTAGTTTCTGAATTTGTTCTATGAGGGAATTCTTCCTTACTAAAATCATTGTGTGAATTTACTGGTTTTGGCATTGTCTTCAATTGGTGATGGTCTTCAAAACACCTGTTCAGAAGGGTAGCTGTGATCTCTTAAGGCTATACGTGGTCTTACAGGCTTGATTATTTTACAGGTTTGATAAATTTTTGTAAAGTAAAGCATTGATTGGCAAATAATCTAAATTTTTCATTTTAGAGAATAAAGCTTTTCTTTTTAAAAACAGGATGAAACAAGTGAAGATGCTAACTGTGTTGCTTTGAGTGGACATGATAAGACAGAAGCAAAGGTATACCTATTCAGCCTTTAGAACGCTTACCTGATCGAGAGTGCGGAGGTTGTGTTAGAAATGTCTGTAGAGTATTGTACTATATTTTGTGCTGTAGATTGTAGATTTTTCTCCATTTTGTTTTTAGAGATGTATTTGTTCCTTTTTAATGTTAATTAACGCCAAAAGCTGAGGGGAATTCAATGGTGAGACGTGTTCCTTACTTTTAAAGGAGCTTATAATTAAGCAGAGAAGATATCTTGTAGATACAAGTAATTATAATATTTAAAACAAAGTCATTGATGGTTAGGAATTCCAAGGGACAAGAGTAGTAAGATATTTTTGACTGCAGAAATGACCTCACAGAAGACTGTAGCAGCATTAAAGTGGTATTTGCAGGAAACAGGATTGGGGTTTTATGATGAGAGATGGTCATTTCCTTGTTAGGCTTGACAGTGCAGTATGATTAGAGAACTCTCAGCACAAGGTTTTGGCTGGAAGCCAAAGTGCATGGACCTTGAATGAGGGAGATTGGGTAGAGGAAAGTAGTTATGTCTGAAGCCTCAGTGTCATTTTTAGAGCATTCCATTGTCCCCCTAAATTATCCCGATTCCTGTGATGTTATTTTAGTGTGTATTCTCTGGTGTCTTTGTACAGTTTTTGTGTGCTTTCCTATGTGCATACAATATTGATACTTGTGCTTTCCAATTTTAAGTTGCTTTGTGAACCAAAAAAATATGTTCATGTCATTATATGATCTAAAAATTAATGGCTGCATAGAAGGCTGTTAACATATTTTATCCACCTCCCTACTGTTAGCAGTTTTTCTTTAAAAACAAAACTGTACTTTCCTACTCTAATACTGACTAGCTAAATACCTATCATTCCTTCACATTTATTTTGGATAAACTAATAAAAGAATTATTGGTGCAAGTAGTGTACTTAATTTGAAACTTGATACAAATTGCCAAGTTGTCTTGCAGAAAGGCAGCACTTCTTCCATTCTTCTGTCTTAGTTACCTCATAGTTTTATATTTGCATACAGGTTTTTATAGAAATTTTAGGTTTCTATGTTTATTTTCATTTGTATATGTATATATGGGTAATTTTCTTTTGTACGCTGCTTTAAAAAGTTAAGAGCAGTAGAATGCTATGGTTTACTTTGTATTTTCTGCTTTTCTTAGAATATGTACTAATTATTAGCCAGGAGAGGAGAGACCATAAGGAGAGAGAAATCATTGAAAGATTTTTTTTTTTTTTTACTTTTAATTAAATAAGTGTGGCAATTTTTGTGCCTCTAAGTAATTTTCTTAATAATATTGAGTGAGCTGCTGCCCCTCCCCCAAACACAGTCCCAGTTAAGAGGTTTCTTTGGGTTTATATTTGTTAATTATTGTCTGGACAGTATGCCCTAATGTATCTGTGCATGTCCTTAATTATTATTTACTTAAAATGTCCATAATGGATATTTTTTTTAAATTTGTAATCTTGCCTTACAATAAGGTTGCCTTACAATAAGGTTCCATTATTTTTTTAGGACGTAATAGGAAATAAAACAGTAGAAAATACATCTGATTGTTAAATTACAGTGCTTTAATGCTGATGTGCTAGTGGGAAAAAGTCAGGAGACTGACCATGCCTTATAGGAGTTAAGTAGACATATCTCAAATATTGAAATGATCCACAGCAAGCCTTAATAAATGATTTTGTAATGTAGTCACATCTCTCTCTCGATCCCTCCTGTCTTCCAGTTTGTCTTCATTATTAGCCACCAAACCCAGTTACGTTCTTGTATTCTTTTTTAAGTCTCTCTTCCTCCCTCCCAATCCTCTGTCTCACAGGAACAACTTGATACAGAAACAAGTACAACTCAAACAGAAACTACTCAGACAGCGGCTTCTCTGTTGGCTTCTCAGGTACTAAGTGCAAAAAGCAAGAATTTTGTCAGTGTTCTGAAGATTAGTATGGTATATTGAATTAAGATGAACATTTATATTGGTCTGTTAAATTTGTGAATATAAGTATTTGTAAGCCTAAAAAATATATGTATATATGTATATATTTATTTTTTGAGACAGGGTCTCACTAGTTCAGACTGGCCTTGAATTCACTATGTACCCCAGGGTGGCCCTGAACTCACAGTGATCCGCTTGCCTCAGCCTCCCAAGTGCTGGGATTGAGGCGTGCACCACCATGCCTGCCTTAAAAGTACATTTACTATAGTTTAAAGGAAGGGCCCTAGATTTGATGGGCCTGTTCTCCTCCACCCCCCACCCTATTAAAATACTCTATAAGTAGCCAGGCATGGTGGCACATGCCTGTAGTCCCAGCTACTTGGGAGGCTGAGGTTGTAGGATCACTCTAGGCCTTCAGTTTGAGACCAGCCTGGGTAACACAGTGGGACGCCATCTCAAAAAACAAACCAAAAGAAGATGCTGTAGTTCATCTCTTTATACACTGCAAATCCTTTTTAAGTCCTTACTAATCATATTCACACGCTTCATACATTTTATTTAAATGGTAAAGAGTAACATTTTAAAACTATTCTTAATGGATTTTTTTACAAGGCTAATACAGTCTTTTTATTCTGGTTCAGTCTCAGTGTTCAATACTGATTTTCACTTGCTGTTCATTGTACATTCCATAGTTCTTTACAGTTGTTTCTCCTGTTGTGCCAACGCTTCTGCCTGTGACGGTTTCTTATGTATAGCAGGCACCTGTAGTCTTTTCTCACTGATTTACAGACCTTCATTTGGGTTGTGAAGTGACTGTTTGCTTTTTGAATCTTTTCAAATTCACTTAAACCCAGATTAGTCCAGGTAAAACTGACGCAAAGTAAATATTTTCTTTTAAGATAAATATCCTAGTGATTAAGCTCTACAAAATAACTGAGATAAACAGCTGCCTAGTGGTGCTGCTGTACTGATACCTTGGTATTTTGCAGCTCTGTGCTTCAGTTGTTCTAATGTGATCATATTAAAATGTGCTTTTTGCTGGGCGTTAACTTGCAGGTACTGTTTGTGAATTATATGTTAGTTTGTGAAGTATTTTTTATTGCTATAAACTTAACTAATACAATTTTGGGGAATAGTGAAAGTAATAGGAAGTAGGAAATGTGCTTAATATTGATACATGGACAAATTAAATGGTACTTTGATTGTGGTTGCATGTCTTTTGATTGCCACGTTACTTTCTGAGGAACTATTTTCGTCGGTTTGTCTTAGTTTACCCCTATAGTCATTAAAACCCATTGGGTATTTGCTTTTTAGGTACTTTTTATGAGTAGGATTCTTTTTTCCATGTAAAGCTACTGAGAGAAAATCACCTAATGTTAATTTTAAAAGTGGTTCTAGAACTAAAATTTAGGATAATTAAATTTTTGCTCAGTTACGTAGATTCAGTTTTATAATTTACAGTGTCAGAAAATAGTAAATTTCCCTGACAACTGCTTTTTTGTATAAGGTGAACTTTAAGTATTCTCCCACATGGGGGTGCTCCAATACCAGTTAATATTTCAACTGTATTATAAGTAAATGCAGTTTAGCATTAACTTGATAATTATACTGTAGATTGTTCTTTTTTTCTGAACAAAAATATATATTTGGAGTGAGAAATCACAGTGTATCACAAATTTAAAATGCCATAAATATGTAGGCTCTTAAAGGAGCATGTTTTTGAGAGCTACATTTGAATTTAAGTTTTCTAAAGTATTGGTAAATATTTGTACTTGCTATTAGAAAATTTCTTCATATATAGAACAGATAATGTGATAATAGTTGTGTTTATTTGTATTCCATTTTGGCATTTGGTAGTGTTTTTCTTTAAATTTGTAATCTTGCCTTACAATAAGGTTCCATTATTTTTTAGGACGTAATAGGAAGTAAAGCAGTGGAAAATACATCTCACTGTTAAATTACAGTGCTTTAATGGTGATATGTGTGTTCTTTGCTTTCATTCTTAGAAAACATCCAGTACAGACCTTTCTGATATCCCCGCTCTCCCTGCAAATCCTATTCCTGTTATCAAGAATTCAATAAAACTGAGATTGAATCGGTAAAAACAACCTCAGGGGTCCATAAACAGTATCTGCCAACTCAACCTGTTGTCTTCAAATGCTAAAAAAGGAGAATGGAGGGTACAAGACTAGACAAGACTGAACGTGGATTAGGTTTTTGGTGACCTCCCTCACTGGGCTAATCAGCACTTGATCGGAAGTCCAGGTTAGTATGTGAAGCCAGGAGTACTGTTCTTATTGTGTTAGCAACAGTTGCATTAACTATTAAAAAAATTACTGCCTTTAAAAAGAAAACCTCAAGCTATATTTGTATCCACAATTGACATCTGGATTTGGTTTATGTTTGATGCATTGTTTGGAAAACTTGCAATACAAACTGGCATAAGAATTCCTTATTCTGATGATGCACTTTTATGTATTTTTTATTAGAAAGTAGAACTAATTTTAGATTTTCAGCTTGATGGATTTTCATTTTTTCCCAAAGAATTTCCTTTGCCCTTAGTCTTCAAATTGGATACCATTGTGCAGTGGTATACGGTCTTTACTTCAGAGAAGAAACAAGAGTACATCTAGTTCAGTCCATGTGAGGTAGTGGTATCCTGGAAAAATGAAACGTCAACTCTCGGGTGTACATTTGACACTGAAAGAATAATTAGGAAATACTTGGTTTTGATGGGGTTATGATTAAGAAATGATATATTGGTTTTATTTATAGAATTGTTTTGTAGTGCATACAAATCAGCGATCAGCCAGCAAATATATTTCTTTGAGCTTACCGGAGCTCCATATTCTTTTGCCTTTTGTCTGTTGTCTTTGAAACAAATGAAAAACCTTTTTGCACCCCCCCCTTTTTTTTAATCTTTTTGTGTATATGCACAAGGTCGGACTTACTTCACAAAAACCAAAATGCCAGTATTTTCTTAAGCCATGATGCGAAACCAGTGACCCGGTGGCACAGAACACTTAAGTTTTGGTCCCATGGCTGAGATCTCCCGGTGACTAAGAGTAATGCCTGTGAGACTGGTATCTAACCTGGATGGCCATTTGATCTCTAAATAGAGGAATTTTGTACACTCCGCAGATCTCCTGTTCCTGTCTATGTAGTAAATTGATTTTCAATTTTAAACGTGGGCAAAAAGGCATTTTCTCCAAGATTTTTAAACTAATTTTTATTTTAACTGGTTTACCAAAATTTGTCAGCAAATTTTACATACAGAAACATTTTAAAACTCATTTCTAAGCAAGCACTTAACATCTAGTCAGCTCTCTACTCCTTTTTTATTTTGTTTTATTCTAGCAAAGGGTGAGAAACATCTTTAAAGCAAATAATTTCTCATAACAAAGCAACATAACATCCATCTTTACAATGTATGAGGGATGCCAGACGTGGGTAAACTTAGTTTCTTAATCTGGACAAAGCAAACCTCACAAGGTTTCTCCAGTGAGCATGTTTTTGAATCTTCCATTGTGCTCCATTTTATCACATGTGCATTTTTCATGTTAAACTGCAATTACTTAAAACTCTCCCCCATGCTTCTAAATTAATTTTCTCAAGTCGGAATATAGTCTTTTCCCCCTTAGGCTATGCATTAATTGAGCTTTCTTTTCCCCATGACTTTATAATGTCTAGTATACAATATTTCTACTTCCCACATCTTCGCTCTGCACAGTCACCTTGCCCTTCTTCCCAGCCACCTAAGAAGAAAAGACGGTCAGCTAACAGGTGAAGTGTACAAGGTGTCTGTGTGTGTTGTGTAGCTTCAGAGTTAGATTGAAATTGCCAGGCACAGATTTAGTCTTGTCATTTTGTTTACACATTGGGGAAAAAAATTCAGTTTATTAAACGTTTCATGTAACTGCATCCAAGTTTTGCCAAGCTGCAAACTTGGACTTTCTCTGTGTAGTGACTTTTTAATTCTAGTTTCATAATCTGGAAATCAGACTGTTGCTTTCGCATGATGTATGTAGTGTCTCATGACTGGAGTTTGCTTTGTTTTATAGTATCTGTACTCCTTGTATTTTTCAAGAGCTATTTTGTAAACAGATGATGTATTTCTCCATTGAAAACACAATAAAATTAAAAAAAAAAAAAAAAAAAACAGCACAATCCCTCAGTTGGCTGATTTCTTTTGACACCACCACCATCCACATAATTTATTTGGTTCTACTTTGCAAGCTTGTAACATGGCTCCAAATGAAGATTTGCAAAAGAATTTGCTCTGGTTAAACCATTAGCAGCAGCCTACTAATTTATGTCACTTAATAATCAGGTATTTGTTTTTTCACATAATTGATCTTTAAGGAGGAAAACATGAACATAGCTACTAGTTACTTCTCAGCTATCCCATTCTCTAAGATAATTATTCTATATCTGTAGATACTGTGCAGTACGTATTTATTCTGTACAGGTAGGCAGTGTTCTGTATTTCCTTCAGAGCTATTGGTTTTCAAAGCATTTGGCATTTTATGTCTAATGTCAGAAGGTGGCACTGTTGTTTTTCATTAAATTTAGACTCAAACCACAACCACCAGTTAGGATCCAGTTTATTATTTTACTAAACCAAATAAGATAATATGTTTCTTAAACCTGCAAATGCTTCACATTGCATACTTAACTCACAGACGAGGGTTGCACTGTTCTGTGTGCTTTTGAGGGCCAGCTCTTGGATGTAGTTGTCTGAAGTGTTCTGAGTAGAGGGGTGGACTTCTTTGTAAAAGCCCTAATTCCAAAGGACACGGGTGTGCACATTCTGTTCCTAAAACTCCAGATTCTGAGAACTCTTTTCCTCAATATGTGAGTGCAGTATAAGGTCATTTTTTTTTTTTTTTTTTTTTTTTTATTAAAGTAAACTACAACTTTGGATTTGCTCAACAAAAGAAAATGCAAAAATTAACATTGACTCCATTGCCAACATGTATAGGATTGAGATTGCCGTACCTGCTCTGTCCCAGTAGACGAGACGTGCAACTGAGTGTCATACTGAGTTTATCATTGTCCTAGATTTTTGACATTTCATGTATTTTGCTGAAGTAGTAAAATGATAAAAGTTGCACATTTCATGCTGCTGGGTAAATTCTGGAATAGTTATTTTCTAATGTTTGTTTGTTTGTTTTTGTCTCCATACAGAAAAATGTTTTACAGCTCTGCGTAGTATTCTGGCTGCATTCATGTAGCAAATGATCCGCAGCTCCAAGTTGTATTTGATAAATGAAAGGACAAATCATTAATGTTCACAATCTTGTAGACTGAGCCTTGGGAATATTGTTAAATAAAAAGATAAACTTCCTAGAAAGGCATTGAACAATCCTGTGGATCTTCCTTTGCCTATTTTAATTCCAATAAAAATGAACAGTATGGGGAAAATTAGTTGCCTTTTAGCCCGAATTGTGTGTTTTGTTGTAGTTCTCCACGTTATTGTTCTTCTGTTGCTTTCCTTCACATGAAAGTCACACATGGATGCTGCCCGGACTCAGATCTGAACTTGGTAAATGAAGAATTGTGTGTGTTCTGTAATAAACATGACCTTCAGTTCCAAGAGGCAAGTGGTCTGTTCTTTGTGCTACCTGTTTCTCTCATTTGTGTGATCAGCTCATCCTTTCTCTAATCTTATCCGTTTAGAAATTAAGTTTTACATTGTTTTATTGGCACCAAGAAAAGTGGCATATATATTTCTGAAGCATGTGTTTTCAGAAATGATTGTACTTGATTCTAGTGTGATTTCAAGTACTTGGGAAATCATCTCCGTTTCTGCTTTCCTTCCTCAGAAACATGCCTCTGGCTCAGTATTCAGGACTGCTCTGGCATCTGATCAAACCACTTTTTAAGAAGTTCCTTAAAAGGGATAGAATTTCAAGTCCATTTTTCTTTGACAGGGTAGAATTAGGGCTATGTTCAAGTTCACATTTTAGAAACCTCAGTTGTGTGGAAGGACACAACTGTCCCTTTTTCCCAGGTTATTCTTCAGTATGCTTCATATATTCATGTAGCTACAGATCGTATCTGTAAAGTGAACAGTGTTGTTTAGTGTTTCCAGAGATAGTTTAACCATCTATTGTTTAAAATGTTAACTTTCAAAATAAAGACAGTGCAGCCACTTTCCCTTTAGGCTTGGGTATCTTTAAATACTACCAGTAGGATAGGGAGTATATTCAAATCAAGATGAGAATAAAAGTGTATGTTTTACTTGAAGGATTTTATGTTTTACTGTGATTATGTCTAAGATACAGAGCGGTGCTCTGCTCCCCAGCTTAGCTTTTGTTTGAATGTGTGTGGGTGGTTTGCTTTTAGTGGTAAGAGTGGATTTACGGCAAGCCTTCTACAGTCCTTCCTTCCTGGGGCTCCCTGACTAGCACTGATGAGGGAAAGCCCAAGGGTGTCTTGGTTTTGTTTTACACAGTGGGATAAATGGGTTTGGAAGCCAGGAGCTGCTTCAGCCCAAGTTTAAGCTTGCCGCCGCCACTGCGTCTTGTTAGCACAGACAGTGGTAGCCCTGAGACACCACATAGCGCATGGTATAATTCTGGAGTAACGTAAATCTAGTTACAGAGTGTCAAATCTTAAAGAATTTTGTAAAATTTCACCTAAAGTCATTGAATAATACGTTTTTATTCATGTTTTTGGTTTTTTTTTCAAACAAATCAGATTGAAATAGAAAATACACAAAAGGGAAAGTATGAAGCACAAATCCTGACTTCATGGTAGGTTTTTAGTCTTGGCTGATACAATGTCCAGTTATACCTTGGTACCCACCTGCTTCGAGACTTCACATTTGATGACTGACGCATTCGGACATGAATGTTTTATCCCGGCACTTTGGTTCTTTATGTACAGGCTAACACTTGTCAGCATAGGTTGCTCATGACTCTCCTTTCCAGCCAAAACAATTCGATGTTTCTTGTTTTGGTGCACATCACATCTCCCAGAACCCACTTTACAAGGAGTCCTGAGGTGCCACTGTAATTAACAGTTGCACTTTTAACGTACATGTTTTTTGTTTATGTGAGTGACCTAATTTTTAATAATTTATCTCTTAAAATTTTGTAATGCTTTTAAAATATTGAACAGGTAAGACTTTATACTGAAAATGTGTATATGTAATTGTTTTTTGAGGCAGGGTTTCACTACGTATGGAGAATGGTCTTGAACTCACTGTCTAGCCCAGGCTGGCCTCAAACTCAGTGATCATTCTGCCTCAGCCTCCCAGTGAAAATATATTTTGAAAAATTCAAATTATTTTATGGATTTGCTCATTGCAGACATCTCCATAGTGTGCGTTGTTTAATGAGGTCATGGAGCCTTAAAATAGTTAAATCTTTGGGGAGAGGTCTAATGCAGTTTTGATTTTTAAGCTTTCTGGAAATACCTTAGTAACAAAGTTAATTGCTGGGGCTGATTTGTGTGCTGCTGCTTACCCTTCTTAATTTCTGTCCATTCGTTTAGGTATTTGGTTATTTTCAGACTTCAGCCATTAAAAGGAGGCGCATGGATTTTAACTTAATATAAAACGTCCCAGTGCTGTGTGTGTTCCTTGTGGATCTGCCTCTCTCTTGGCACAGCACCCTCCTCACAAACTTTCACACTGTGTAGTGCCTGGTGCTGTGTGATCTCCAGAAATCTGGCATGAGAATTGATCCTTGTTTGCGTTTTCTGACTGCAATGGAGCTGTTAATAAAGAGATTGATGATAAAGTTGTTGAAAAGAGACAGTTGGGCAGAGCTGCTCCCCATGAGTGACAGAGGGCATGATCTGCCTTCACAGCCAAGAAAGCCGCCCCCAGCAGAGCACCGTCCGTGCCTGGACACTGTGCCAAGGCTATTAGAAGCTTCCCTGCACTATTCGGCTACTACATCTTTTAAATTGGGCTCGCTCCCATTCTCATTTTTATCTTTTAAGTTCATGAGCTGCTCAGAACAAATAACATTTGCAAATAAGACACACTTCCCAACAGAAAGTAATTGTTTTTGCAAATTCTTTCAAGCACTCAGAATTCATCCTAATTTGGCTTCATAAAACTAAGTTTTATTTTAAAATAAGGCTACAGTTTATATAGAAAACCTATGCTTTTTTCTAGACATAAGTCAAATCTGAGTCAAAAGTAGGAAAACTAGCTTTTCAAATACAAGCTTTGCCATGTATATAAACTGGAATGATTTTTTAAATAACCTTTTTTCTTTGAATTAACATTTTTAATTTATAAAGGTTAATTTTTATATAAATTATAAACTCTCAAGGCAGTAGGGACCCAGTGAGTCTTTGCATGCACGACACCTTCACCTAACTCTCTCCGTTCAGAGAGAAGTCTGTATTTTGTAATTGCCTCTGGGCAGTTGGTTGGGCCAGGATTTCCTTTTGCAGCAGTTACCTCTAGGTTTAGGAGAAAGTGCCGAGCCTTCTCTATTTTGATGTGGCTTCCAAACAGTTTTCTCTTTGTCACTGGTTGCTGTTCTTTTCTCTCTCCACCTCTCCCTTTCTTAGTTACTTTTCTCATTGCTGAGACAGAATACCCTCCAGAGGTAAGGGAGGAAAGGGTTATTTGAAGAGGTTTCAGTCTGTAGTCAGCTGGTAGGGCATCAAGAGGAGAAACAGTTCATGGCAGACAGAAGGTAGCAAAGCAAGCAAGGGACAGGATCCTCTTCCTGTCCCTTGTATCCAGGCTACCGGGATTAGGGCAGTGTCATACCAATCAGTGGGCTGATTCAGTAATCACCAACCCTTAATCCCAGCAGTACACCACGAATCAGCACCCTCAACTCAGCCATCTCTTGAGAAAACCTCACCTATGACTGCATGAGGCTTTGGGGGACATGTAGACACAGGCCGTAGCACCCTCTCCCTGCTGATGGGAGGGGTGGAGCAACTTGGGTAATCAGGTTCTTTTAGGAATTTGCAAGGCTCATGGAGAGCCTGAGCTGCAGTAGAGTGATAGTATGGGTACAAGCTGAGAACTTAAGAAATGGTAATATTTTCCATGCCTGTCTGACCCTCAGTCTGACCTTTGCTGTTCTGCTTGTTCTCTTGGCCCGCCTCTGACATGGCAGAAGCTGGACTAGAATGTGCCGTGGGACCTGGGTACAGGAAGCTTTGCGGGTCCCAGCACAT